AAAGACCGTACCAGAGCAGAGACTGTGAAGTCTCTAGCATGCATCTTCTCAGTCAACCAGTCAACTTTTCTCCTTGTGTTGAGGAAGATGACAGCCTGGGTGATGGTGAGAGTTTCATACAGATCACACAGGGTGTCCAGCTTCCACTCCTGGAGACATCCAAGAAAAACAAGAGGTTATGCACCATCAACTGCACAAAGTAAACCTGGCAAATCATACTGCAAACCAGCATGGGGGTGGTTATCAAGCAACTATTTAACTCCATATTAAGGAGGAGCAGCTGACAATGTAACACAGGATCTTGAGACAAAGGACACAGGACATTAAGAAAGAGGTCCCTCCAAGCCTCATTTCCAATACTGTGCTTTTATCTCCTTCCCTGGTGTACCCATGCTTACATGGCCACATGAGCCAAACCTGTGAGGCTTGGCTCCTGCAGTTTTAGCAGGGTGCTTTAGAGAGAAGGGAAATCTATAAAGTTCATACAAGTATGAGAATACACCAGAAACTGGAAGCCAGCTAAATCTTTCTGGATAAAGTGTTACTGATAATTAAACCCACCTCTCGCTCCACATTTATGTAGAACTGCTTGATACCCTCAAGGGTAAGCTCTTCTTTCTTCACCAAGATGCGAATGGGGTCTCGCATGAACTTCTTAGTCACCTCCAACACATCTGCTGGCATGGTGGCAGACAGCAGGACCACCTGAACAAATTGCATTACAAGTTACCATAAGAATCAATAGACTATGACCAATTCAAAATGTGGTGCAGTGTTCCAAAAGAATTACATTTAAATGCAGAGCTAATTGTGGCACTGCACCTTGAGAAAGAGGCCAATGAACATTAAGAAAGAGGTTCGACCACATCTCATTTTCAGTATAGTGCACAATAATCTCCTTCCGCGCAATACTCTGCTAGCATCATTGCATAAAACAGATAAAATCTGGATCACACAATTATAGCAGACTTCTGTTAATGCAGAAGGGAACCATATTTAACTGCTGAACTGTCTGTGTTGTGCCCGTATCCAAAAAGATACTTACTTGAATGTTTGTGCTCAATTTCTGGAAGATCTCATAGATCTGGTCTTTGAACCCTCGACTCAACATCTCATCAGCTTCATCCAGAACAAACATCTTGATCCATTTTGGGGCTATGCAAGAAATGCTGGGTTAGAAGTCACAAAATAAACTTAAAATCTTTCCTGGTGAACAGGACCTGTGATACTTACACAGATGTCTCCTGTTAAGCATGTCGTATACACGTCCTGGTGTACCCACCACTATGTGAGGGGCCTCAGCCTGGAGCTTCTGTATTTCGCTACGGAGATTGGTCCCTCCGATGCAGGCATGGCAGGTCGCGCCCATGTAATCACCCAGAGCCAGAATTACCTTCTGGATCTAATCAGGTGAGACAGGAACAAAAACCAAAACACTGGTTCAGGATAGTGTGGTATATATGGCATGGCAGGACATGCAAACTCAAAAGTGTAGAATAACTGTTAAAAGTGATCAGTAAAACAAAAGGATTTCTCCATTTCAAGAGTCAGTCCCGAAAGATGGTATGCCATCATATCACCCAGTTTTCCACAGCAACACAAAACACAACAAATTCGATGAAGCCAGATCACCTTTTAGACCAATGCAGCCATGGACAGAGACTACACCAATCGTAAGAGGATACTTTGTTTCAAATTTTCAGAATTTTGACAAGTTTAAAAAAATGGTACCTTAGCACTTGAATCAGTGTCCTCAATATGCTGCCTAGGTCTGAGACACTGAGGTTATCGTGACCTCAGGAACAGCATACCTGCTGAGCCAGCTCTCTGGTGGGAGCCAACACCAGAGCCTGAGTCTCCTTCTGCTCTATGTCCAGCTGCTGCAAGATAGAGATGGCAAACGTGGCCGTCTTGCCGGTGCCTGACTGGGCTTGGGCAATGACATCATAGCCTGATGGCAAGGGGAAAAAGATTATTATCTGAAATAAAAGATTTGTTCCTACTCAATCCTAACACAGAATGTGATTAATACAAATTCAAAAGTTTGTGTCCAAGAAATGCCATGTCAAATTTGACTGCCTCAATGCAGTTACCACAGAGCATTTCTGATGTTACAACTGAGTTATTGATGAATAAATTCAACAGTTGAGTGATCAGTGAGAAAAAAAATTATCCCCATTAATGGGTAAGTCCCGAAAGATGGTTAAGCATCATTTCACTCAAACAGTAACAAATCAATTTCTGAATACATTTAGTTACTGTACCTTTGATGCAAGGAATGATTGCCCTCTGTTGAATGGCAGATGGTTTTTCAAAACCATACGCATATATTCCCCTGAGAAGAGTCTCCTTCAGGTTCATATCATCAAAGTTGTCCGTAATCTCATTCCAATTGCTCTGGATAAAGAGGAACAATAGCTTATGATTGAAAAGCACATAACCTCAATGATGACCGTTTTACACCATGAAAATGAAATTTATGACGTTTAATCATGTAATTACCTCGATGACACCATCAGGCTCCATCCCATCTGGCCCCCCATGGTCTCTATCTCGTGAGCTGTTAAAGAGAATTAAAATAGGTCAAAATTTCACTTGAAGTCAACTTCAACATCATATACCCATCACAGAGAAGGAAATAAGTCTTGGGGATAAATTACTTGACACACGCAAGTGTAACTAGCTGCCATTCATACCACGTGTCATACCATGAGGGGGCTACTGTCAGACTTGTCAACACTGCCAAGCCGCTCCTAAGGAAAGCCTCCTATTTCTCGTTAATTTCGGGGATTTAAAATGTAAAAGCTACGTCAGATGTGTAGTGAGCGGGTCCACGGTGGTCCGGGTTACGCCCAGGGTATCTCGTTACAGCCCGGGGCTTCGCAGGGCGCACGTGTCAAATTCCACGAGTAGGGCTCAACTACCTGCCCCCCGGAAAATTCCCGGTTATGTAACCTCGCAAAGGTTCCAAACCGACTCACACACCCACTATGGTCTATGTTAACATGCATGTCAAAAGCGATAAAGTCACATCTGTACGCATTCTGCAGGTCTCAACATGGAGCTCTGCTTCTCTCCCCGTTAGCCAATATGTCGGACAGTTGGGCCTGTGCTGCCAACGGTGGCTCCTGCTGCCCGAGAACTAGGCCGAGGTATTGCCTTCCCCGACGGTTCTTTAGATTAACATAACCACCGGCCACGACAGCAATACGTTATTTCAAGAACAAATACTGATTCATAAGTGTTTTACCTTCGCTACTACAAAAATAACTAATATTTAATCCAAATAGCTCCCAACGGCATTTTTGAACCGCGGTGTAGCTGGGCAGCTAACGTCTCAAAGCTAACTCTTAGCAACCAGATCGCCCTGACAGCGGTTGGGGCTTAGCTAGCTAGATAATAACTAATTCGGCAACATACAAATTACACACTAGAGCTGCACGCCTCACTACACCTAAACATCGAGTAATGTTTGAAAAAAAAGGGGCCAAAATGTAAGAGTTTACCTGTTGTAATCAGCAGAATCGCTAGACATGATCCGTCCCCAACTTCAGCATGCGACTGGAAAGATCGCTGATGGCGATGCCAACTGCCTTTATGCAGCCGGACTATTTTCACCGATGAACTCAATGCTCATTTTCGTCGACAGTGTGGTCTCATTTGACTGACTTAATGTTTGGATTGCACTACATTTTATTTACTATCTGATATAGATAAGGGTGCATGCCAATAACCTATAAAAATGTGAAAATTGTTTCAGACTATATTTCTCAGCGGAAGGATATTGCAGTAATGAGTGGTGCTCGGGCTTCTACGGTGTCCCTGACAGGTCAAAACTCGGCCTGACAAGGTTGTGCAACATTTTTGGAGAGAGGGTTCGTATGAGGCCGACACATGTGGAGTTCATTAAATAAAATTAAATGCAATACATTTAGAACAAAATTGACAAGCTGAAAGAACAGATTTAAGTCTCCATCATCATGAAACCACTTTGCTTGGGAGGAAGTTTAGAAGATTTGCAGCAGTGAATGTTGTGTCTGACTTTTTATTTTATTATTATTATTTTTTTTAATCTTTTTTCCTGCTTTAATAAGTTGACTTAGGTAACTTTGTAGTATAGCAGTCAGTGAGCTGCTAATCACAACTTTGGACTGCATAATATATTCTCTCTTTGAGAGAAAACTGGAGACAGGTTTTGAAACATAATAGTAACCAACAAGTATACAACCCCTCTCATATGTAAATGGAGTGTGTATTGGACCAGGTAAAGCAAAAAGAGACTATGTACATTGGACATCCTCAAGAAACCTGATTGCACAGACAAACCTGTTTTTACTAAGGATTGCTTTTTCAGTTGCTGTGAAAAGTTTTATGGCAGCATACTGAAAAATGGTCTCCACTTGAGTATGTCCAAATTAAAGTAATTAATTTGACCTTTCTCTCCAGTCTTCTTTCAGCCTCTAATTTTAAACACTGATCTGTATTACACTGTATTACAACAGCAAACATCATGTATTTTATCTGTTGATGATGTATTTAATTTGGCGTCTCTCTTTTATGTTAAAAGTTGAATTAATCTCACTGTGACCAATTAACATGACCAGATTCTTTGTGTACCATCTTCTTTTCTTCAAGTTCTAGCCATCCATGTCTCTGTTACTGAACTTTACAATTTTGAGGTACTTGTACTTTCCTTGAATAGGTCAATTATATGCTACTTTTCATTCCATTACATTTCAGAAGGAAATATTGTACTTTTTACTCAACACCACTTATTTGCCAGCTAGTTACCAGTTGCTTAAAAGGTTATGGTTTTCATCCAAAACATGTGAACACATTTATGCACTGTTCAAACTATACCCAACATTACTAACTCCACCTCTATCACGGCATGCTGTACACAGTTTTTAGTTAATAAATAACATACTATAAACAGGTTATTTTGCATACTGTATAGTTTTTTTAATTCTGAACATTTAAGTATATTTTGATGATAACACATTTGTATTTTACTCATATAACATTTTGAATGCAGTATTGCTACTTTTACTGTAATAAAAGATCTGAATACCTCTTCTGTCATGTGCTCAGGTCTGGCATATACTATACTATATATCTTATGTGGCCTGGCTCAACTAATCTTCGATATTTCTGTATATTCTTGCATTATGCTTCAAAACAAATAACACCAGTTTTGTTCCTTGCCTATTACAACAAACCATACAAGACATATTTTGCTCTTACTTGTTAATAAGCATTGCTGAATGTACAAAGAAAACGTTTTTAAAAATGAGTGGTTTTGCCATTAAATACAAACAATGATAACAATGTTGTTTGAATTTCAAAAATGTTCATTCTCTTATGTTCTGACACCAAAGCAGAACAATGGAGTATATTTCAATTCTAATGCACAATGGTGTAGTAGTTGGAGAAGAGTTCCTCCCCTGCTTTAATTTCTCTGAGTGAAACAAGGACAACACACCGGAGAGGCCTCTGTGTGTCCTGGCTGTAGTTGACATTAGGGAGATACTGGTGGAGCTCGATAGGAAACTTGTCTGGCACGTCATATTCCTGGTAGCACACATTAGCTGGATACTCGTTAGAGCAGTTGTTCACATACTGGCCCACAGCAAGTGGGTTTTGTGGAGTGGCTGTCAGCCAGCTGGTGTCACTCATCATGAAGGGTCCTATTCTGTCCCTGCCACTGCAGGACTTGAACACCATTTTGGAGATGCCTTTGTCATTTCCATCGATCAAGACACCATCAATACACCTGAATACAAAAGGGTTTCTAATGGACTGGAGAAGAATAGGCTCATAGGCTTGATAGACTGTGCCAGGGTACATGGCAACTGTAGCTCCTTTGGGTACAAATCCCTTGGTGACAAACACTCCACTTCCTGCAAAGGGCAAAGTGCTAGGCTGCCGGTCAATGCAGAATCCGAGAGTCTGTAACATGGCATCATACCCAAACGCTGGATTTCCTTCATACTGCTCTTCTTCACTTGTTACCTGTCTGTGAAAGTGAGTTTGAGCCGCACGGAGATCCCAGTGATTAGCCCCATGACTCCTCAGCAGTACTCTGAAAAGCTTCAGCAGGCTCCGTGAAACCTCTGCATCTGGGACTAGTTTGTCTTTCGAGCGCTCCGTCACCTGTCGCAGCGTTTTCTCGTTTTTAGACAGGTTCAGTACAACCCAAGGCACAAATCTGTGTCTGTATGATTTCCATTTCTTCTGAAATCTTTTTAGGGCAGTTCGGAACATTCAAAGCGACGTCTGACAGACTGGACACGGAGGAATCAGCTAATATACAGGTTTTCTGCAGTCACTTCCGACAAGTTGCTTCAAAATAAAAAGCGACACTTGTTAATATTTCCAAATTCGTTCGAAAGTTTTGCACTTTGATAATGTGTTACGATAAATGGGAATAATATGCTATGCAATTTGTAGAAAGGGGGATATTTAACCTTTTAGGAAATCATATCACCGAGAAGCGATTAATTATGTGCTTTTAATTTGAAGAGGTATCCTTCAACCGGAAAAAAATGTACGTGCCTCGTGAAAACTTTACACGCATTAGCCAGCTGGATGGGAGGAGAGGGAGTCGGGCGAAGACAAACATGGTAAGAAATGACTCTTTTTATCCTGGTGTCTTGATGCAAATGTAAACAGCTCTCACATACACAAACTATCACTTTGATGTTGTTAGTATAATTTTAAAAAGTGCGGCAATGACGCTATATTACCTCCATAAAAAGAAAACAAATGTAGCTCTCTTCGTTAGCATTAGCCAACTAGCTCACGGTGAGACTAGCCAGCTCGCCTAGTTAGCTAGCTAAGCTTGCTATCATTTAAAACAGCTGACAAACAAAATTACATACTCTGTAGCAATGTAAGTTATGAATTGTTGTCGACAGGATTTAAGACTAGATGGCTAATTCAGTGTTATCACAATTGTAAAGATACCAGCCTGCTTACACACTGAAAGTCGGTCACTGCTGTCAGGTCGCTTGTTATTGCTAGTTCTCTTACTGCTATTTAGGTGTGTTTCACCATGGTTCAGTCCTTATGTAGCTAACAACTAGCCTGTCCTTTGTGGTTATTATGGGACATTTTGGATGGTAAGAGTCCTGCAGTCATATGCAGGCTGTTGTTGATATAATCGTGTTAGACAACTGATAAATGTAGTTATATTGTTAAAGAAAAAATGCGTTTCGTTGTGTTATTGTTGTTTTTCATAGTAATCTAATCGTGTATTATTGCAACAACAGTGTTGTTGCGTTTCATGTGATGTGTGCTTGTTTTTGTGCAGAACAAGCTGAAGTCCTCACAGAAGGATAAAGTTCGCCAGTTCATGATTTTCACACAATCCAATGAGAAGACTGCACTGACCTGTCTGTCACAGAATGACTGGAAACTAGATGTTGCCACGGACAAGTTTTTCCAAAATCCAGAGCTCTATGTTTCACATCTAAAGGGAGTCTTAGACAAGAAGAAGCTCGAGCAGCTGTACAACAGATACAGAGGTATGGGAAGCCTTTTTCATGTACAAAAATAAAGCACCACCACAAGGCTCAAGGCAATTTTTAGGTTGTTACAAATTTTCCATAGGGCTGCAAATTAATAATCGCTCTTCCCACTCTTACTTCTAGATCCTCATGATGACAACAAGATCGGCATTGACGGGATCCAGCAGTTCTGTGATGACCTGGGTTTGGATCCAGCCAGTATAAGTGTCCTCCTCATAGCCTGGAAGTTCAGAGCAGCAACACAGTGCGAGTTCTCAAAACAGGAGTTCATGGATGGCATGGCTGAACAAGGGTGAGAATGTATTTTTCAGACTGTACAAACACGAGAGAACAGAACAAACTTTGTTCTCTCATGAAACTGCTCCTCTGGTTTCTGTGAAGTGAACTTAAGCATTATAAACTCACAGATCACAGGAAAACAGGCAACAATAATTTAAATGCTGACTTGATGTTAAGTAGAATTTCAATAGAAAGTGTGTCTGAGAGTCATGAAAGGACTGCGGTACATTTATCTAAAATGCCCTTCAATTGTGTTACTAAAATCAGAAGATGCCACATGTATTAATGTAAATACTCAGGTTGTTTCCGAGAATGTTGACTAAATTGTGTTAATGTGGTAACCATGCAGTCTCTGTAAACAGTCACTTAAACGGTTTTTCATTTACATGTATATACTGTAGAGCCATTCAAACATCTTAACACTGTAGTGCATACAGCTTATTTGAATGCTGAAATATTCTAGGAACAAATTAAGTTTTCTCTTTGTCCAGTAAAAACTAAGTTTGCTTTATGTTTCCTCAGGTGTGACAGTATAGAGAAGTTAAAAGCTCAGCTGCCAAAGATGGAGCAAGAGTTAAAGGACCAAGGGAAATTTAAGGACTTTTACCAGTTTACATTTAATTTTGCAAAGAATCCCGGCCAGAAAGGTTTGGGTAAGTCTCATTATGTTCATCATACCTTCTTTTGTGTTTTGTGTTTTTTTTTAATGTATATTAACCTCTTTGTGGTTTTCTCACAGATTTAGAAATGGCAATTGCATATTGGAATTTAGTACTGGCTGGAAGATTCAAGTTCTTGGACTTGTGGAACAAATTTTTAGTTGTAAGTTGATAATCACACTCAAGACTACTCTAAAAATGCAAATATTGTTCGGTTGCTTCAACTCTGCCCTACTCCTATTGCAGGAGCACCACAAAAGATCAATTCCTAAGGACACTTGGAACCTCTTACTAGACTTCAGCACAATGATCACAGATGACATGTCGAATTATGATGAGGAAGGTTTGTACAGTGCTTACAGACAGCTGTATTGGAAACTTCTTTACATCTTTGACCCGCAGTTGTTCCCCTCACATCCTTCAAGAATGGTTTATACAATATTGAAATCATTGGAGTCAATTTATTCAACTAGTTTTGTTTTTATGTTCAATAGGAGCATGGCCTGTCCTTATTGATGACTTTGTGGAGTTTGCAAGGCCACACATCGGGACCAAAAGCACGGCGGTTTAAGGGCTGCTCTCACTGAAGGAGCATCCATGTGAGTTTTCTACAAAATAGAGTGCAGTGAAAGGAGGACAAGGGGACCACACTGAGCTGAGAACTATGTTGCCTTTTCAACCCTCAGGACTGAAATATTTTACACAGCAGAGACTTTATATATGTGTGTGTGTATGTACATATATAAAAAGGCATCTCTCTTTGTTGGTCAGCTTGTTGTGGTTTGGAACTTTTATCTAAAGTATTGGGCTTTTTTGTGTGTGCTCAAGCCAACTACAGAGGAGCCACCATCTTTGCCCACGAGGTTTGGCTCAAAAGCAGGTAGATAGACACAACTTTGAATTGTAATGTAAATTGGAGGATTCAAGAGGAGATGTCAATCTTTAAATATTGAATTTTAACACTTGTGTGCATTCCTGATTTTGCTTTTGTTTTACAATACATTTGTGTGACAAGTCAGTATAAAACATTGATTGTAATTTTTTAAGCATAATGCTGTTTGTTTAAACACAAATGTATAAAGATAAAATAAATGTTTCAATTTGGTATCTTTAAAGTTGGCAAGCCTCTTTGTATTTCTGTATTAAAAATGAATAGATAAAGGTTAAGCATTGAGAAATTAGTCTCAGTAGCCATTGGATAATGAATACTGGAGGTTGTTATATTTTAGGAACCGTGTAGGTTCTTTCATGAAACTGAATAATGTTTTGTGTTAAATTAGGTCAAATGCTATCCAAAATAGAAGTTGTTTGTTCCTCTGACTGCAATACAAATACTCTTTTGTTGATGCTTTTGTAGAGGTCATGGTTTATGATAAGCAGGTAATTTGCCCTCAACTATTACATTTTTCTTTCAATGTGGAGAAGATTGTGTAATTGAGTTTTTAAGATGAATGTTGACACAGGTCTTAAAAGAAAATTGAAAAAGTGGCCCACTTAATAAGAGACTACACAAATGTTACATCCTTGAAAGGATAAACTAAGTCCAAGTGATCAATCTGAAAGGCTGACAGTGAAATTATCAAGACCTGTTTTTTTTTTTTTTTTTTAAAGTCCCATAAACTTAAATGACTGGAAATTAGATGATGCCACGGACAAGTCTTTCCAAAATCCAGAGCTCTATGTTTCACTTCTAAAGGGAGTATTAGACAAGAAGAAATGTGGGTATGTCAAATAAGTTCTTTCTCATGAATGTTATATCACAAAAGAAAACATAAATGATTAGTATAGCCTTCAGGGAGATACCATGTATATAAGTTGAGGTATGGTAGTCACTTTTATGTTCATTTCAACATACACTCTTTAAACTGCATCTTTGTTTACTACATTTTAAGTTACCTCGAGTATGTTGTGTAGAATTTGTAACTTCCATGTTGAATATTTTTGGCGGTTTATTAACTTCCGTGAGGTGCAGAAAAGACTCCTGCAGCCCAACGTGCAGGACTGGTTACGCACCGTGCTGCAGTGTTCTTTGTGGTCTCGCGCTGCCTCCTCGTGGCAACAACATTGAAGGGCACGTGTGGTTGCTAAGGGCGACTGACAACAGACAAACAGCGGCTTCAGCAGTTTCACAGCAAACTGTAGAAAAAGAAAGCGACAGCAGTTATCACTCTGGATTATTCTTTTGTTACTTTGTAGAGGCTTCGTCAAACTCTGCAGGAAAATGTCGAGTCTTCCTGATACAATTTTATCTGAGATTGGCTGGGATGAGCGCTTCGCCATTCCTGAACCTAATGTTGAAAACAAGGCTTTGATAGAGGAGGTGAGTATGGAAAATTACGGCTACCATTTGTGACAAAACTAATGAATAGTTTATCTTAGTAATGGTTGCCGAGTAATCGATAGTGCTGCGAGTTAATCAACGTGGCCAAGCTAGTTTAGCTGGATGTTTGGCATTTGAGATCCAGACCCTAAGCTATCCCAAAATAACTTTAGGAATTTATGAATCGTCAAAAATGACTATGAGGTTATAAATAAAATACAGGTTTCAGTGATTTTAGTCAACTGGTTAATTTACTGTAACAAAATGAATATGTACTAGTTTAGCCACATGATAATTTTATTTTATGCTAAACATCTGGCCCATCCCAAATGGGATTCCTACACACAACAAAAGTTACAACATAATAAGTAGAACTACACCTGCTGCAATATGACCAGACGGAGAAATTTCCTTCCTGACAGATATAAGCTTTTAAAATTTGTCGAAAAATTTGCTCTTTGGTTCCTGCATTACATTTTTATGTGCTGAATGTATACATATTTACTTTTTGCTATTTTCTCAATTGTTCTGTACTGCACCAATGACATGTTTTGTGATGGCTTTTAACTTTTAATTTTTTAAAACGGTATCTAATCTATACATGTACCAGTTCGAGACAAATGTTTGTTACTGCATATAGTGACTGACACCATTTTTAGCCAGCTCACAAGAACAATCATACTGCAGATGGTATGTCATGTATGCTATGACTGTAATCTGATGACTTCCTCAACTACAGATTCATAAAAAAGAGTATGAGCTGGTGCAACTGGAAAACAAACTTGAGAGAAACAAGGATCAAAAGCAGTTAATGACTGAATTTGTCAAAAATGGCCAACAAGAGCTGGGAAATACTGAGGTAAGTTTATCAGAATATGTTGTTTATTTATCATGTGTCAGACAGATGTGCATCTTTTCTGCTAATTAGGTTATAGTCAGAGTGTCAGGATATGTTGCAAATTTCTCATTTTGATTTTCCTGCACTTAGGCTCTGTTCAAAGCCAAGGAAAGAGAACATGAGTTGGAGAAACACCTCACAGCTGTTACAGAGAGGGAGACAGGTCGCCTGGCACAGGAGACTACTAAGATGGAGAATGAGCTCCGATCTTTAGCAGAGAGGAGAAACATGCTAGAGGTCTATACCATTCACAGCATGACTACAGAAACAATTATACAGTATCTGTTGGGGCCAAATTACTACTTTAAATGTGCTAACCTTTGTCCATATCCTCAGAACCACATCTTCAAGACCAAACAGAAGCTAGAGGAGTTTAGGAACCAGATGAACTGGGACCAGCAGACCATGGATGTCTTTTTGGAGGAGTCAGCCTGCAAAGACGAGGACACAATGGCGATCATTAAGTATGCCCAGCAAGATGAGCAGAGGATCAAGGTAAAGAGAAAACATGAAAAAAAGTATCTATAAGCTCTACATTCTGTTTGCAGCAGCAGTTACAATAAAACTAAACTGCCCTTTACAACTCTGACTCTTCCTGAGCTAATAGCTTTGTAATCTCTCCTCATACAGTCACTCACTCTGGCTTTAGAGAAGAAGACACTGGAAGCCAATGAAAAGCGCAAAGCACTTGACAAGGAGTTGACTGAGACTATATCTGCACAGGTACGGCAAGAAAAAACTGCACATTGTCACTCTTTATGTGGCTATGACATTTCCTTTTTTTTTTCAGAGCCAGCTGACGTCCAGCTTGCATTCATTGCAAGAAATCAAATGCATCACGATCATATGGTATTTGAGAGAAGGAAAGAAATTACTTGAGAGACGGATGAGAGGAACTGAAGTTTGAAATTGAAATTGAAATACACATCCCTCAGGATGTCTGCTAACAAATGTGACAATGTAACCCATTGTGTTCCTATACATGAACTACCTTATTGTACTGAATTACATAAGTATAAATTCAGATCTATACGATATTGTCCTTGACTACTAGCCCTGTGGGGCTATAAGTATTACACACTGTGTTTGAAAAAAAAATTCACTGCTTTTTTTAACAGATTGCTTTGGATAAGACTACAGAGAATTTGCAGCAGGCCCACCTGGAGACACAGCAGCTCATCCACCAGTGGGAAAACACCATCAAACAGATGAAGCAACGTGACACTGAGATGCAGCAGTGTGCACTGGTAAAGTCTGTGACCTTGCTTTTCTGCTGATCAAAGACATGCTGACTCAAACCAGCGCATATTAACTTCTGAACAACAAAAGCTGCCAGAATGTGAAAGCAAACTGAACAGTGCACTTTAGTAACGCTCTGTTTTTGTATTCCTATCTTGTTCCTTCATCCATCCAGCAACTTGCACAGGCCAACCAGAACATCAGGGAAAAGAATGCCACCATTATGGAGAGGAAGCACTTGCTGGATACCCAGAGGAATAACAACAGGGAAACTGAGAGGAAGATAAGCGTAGCCAACCGACAAGCTGTAAAACTGCGACAGGATTTGAAGGAGCAGGAAAATAACTGCATCAGGCTTCAGGATGAGGTCTGCTCGTCAAAGGACTTTGCCCATAGCCGAATGTGCACTCAAAGAATGTTACAGTTACATTACATTCACATGTTACATCTCATAAGTATTTTATCAATCCTAATCTATCATATTGTAAGAGTGAGTAAATTGATTCTCATGTGTCTTGCAGCTGGCTAGTTGCAAGGGCACACTGGACAGAGCGACGTCCGATGTGGAGTCTGTGACGTCCAACATGTCCAGAATGAAGAAAGACGTAGAGGATAACAAAAACAAGTGAGTGAAGTCTTACAACGTGTCTCTATCAATAAATTTTCACTCTCGTGCTTTATACACATCCTCTGTCTGTATATGTGTTCGCTGTAGACTCAAAGAGGCCAAGGCGTACAATGCTGCGCTGGAGGAGAAGCTTAAAGTTGTAACTCAGACTGCCCTTAGTGAGGAGGAGAGAGCTGCCCAGATGGACCAGTTTCTTAAGGATGAGGAACAGGCCATCAAGGTGAGCAGTCTCACTATCCTGAGCCATGAACTAATAATAACTATTACATAATTAATTAATAACATAACTATTTGCTTTTTCTTATAGCTTTTCGACACAATCCAAATATCAACTACTGTATGTCGGTGTTGATAAAATATATATATATTTTATAAAATCATATAAATGCAGGGAAATTTTTTGGTTGAAGACCCCCCACTGTAACATATGACAAGCCCGTTTTATATTGTGCTTAAAATGAGATAGCTTTGTGTTGAAATACTACTTTGTAACCCTGCGTTGGCCTGTGATTTGTTGAAGGAGCTGGATATCCAGCTGCGTGACTCCAGAGTGGAGCTGTTTCGTCGCAAGGAGCATTTGAAGGCCGCGAAGACAAAGGTGAAGGATTCTGTGTCCCACGTTTCGAGGAGCAAATCCATGATTACCAACCTGGACAACCAGCTCAGAAAACTGGGGGAGGACTTAATAAGACAGCAAATGACCATTAATGGGCAGGCAAGCTTACCAAAAACACACACACACACACACACACACAAACGACTATCTACAATCACACAACCCAGCTTTATCCAGTCTAGTGCTACCTCTGCAGTAGTCAAATTTCCCTCTCACTTTCCTGCACCATAGGACTCCAAGATCATCTGCCTGGGTAGAAAACTGGCACGGCTAGAGGGTGACATTCACGGTGATGAAAGACAAGTCCTAGACATGAAGATCACAGAGTTGACCAAAGCCCTAGAAGAGAAGAAGAAGACAGCGAACATGCTAACCAACACGCTCAAGGAGTCTGAGGTCAGTCTTACTGCTCGTTATCTCATCATTCTACAAAATGAGTAATATTACTCCTCACATGTGTCTCTGTCTCTCTGACAGGATGACATTCGCTTTTTGAGGAAAGAAATGGAAAAGTCAGAAGCTCAAAAGAGAGATCTGACCGAGAGGGTGGAGGAGCTCTTTCTTCTCCGTAGTACCAATGAAAAGGAGCTGAAGAGACTCAGACTCAGGAAACAGGTAACTCACTGATGTCATAGCAGGTATCATGAAATCACTCGAATCGCTGACTTCCTGTGTTCGAACTGTGTTCAGGAGATCAGATGTAAGTGCTTCTTTTCACCAAGTCTGATTTCAGGTCATATATCACTTTGGAAGGTCATTCCCCATTTGGCTGAAATAATGCTTTGAAATAAATGCTTACATCAGCACGCTAAGATGCTGACAATGAACATAATGATGCAGGATAATGTTCCCCATGTTCACCATCATAGCTTAGTATGTTAGCATGATAACATCTGCTAATTAACACAAAACACATAGTGCAGAGGAGACTGATGGGAACATAATTTGTTTTGCAGGTTTTGGTCATAAACCAAAGCACTGGACTAATTACAGAGTTGACCTGATGGTGGCATTAGGATAAATCAGAGGATCACCACATCAGCTAGATTCTTCCTGTAGGGACTATGAATGTCAGTACAAAATGTCATGGCAATCCATCCAATAGTTCTTGACAAATCTCAATCTGGAACAAAATGATAGAGCAACCAACAGACCGACATTACCAACCCTGGAGTCATGCTGATAACAAGGCTAAAAACCTCTTTAATAAACACATGGAAGTGGATGTTGTCTTCCTATCTTAACTTAAGACTTAACATAGGAAGTGTCTGTCAGTATTGTTCTGTATTAAAGACAATGTTAAATGAATTTACACAAAAAACATAGCAAATATTATGTAATGTAGCTAAAAGAAAGCACTATCTGTATGAAAATCAATCCCATGCACTATGATGTTGACCTCGTGTGTTCCTCATCAGGACAACATGGTTGAGCATAATATCATGAAGATAGAGCTCAAGCGTTGTAGAGATCTGGTATACAACAAGACGGACACTGTGCTGTCTTTGGAGAAGAGGAAGCTGGAGCTGCAGAAAGCCATAAAAGACCGGGAGGATGAGATCAAGGTCTACAGAGAAATGCTCAGCCAGCAGCTCAAGATCAGCGAGCAGGAGAGACAGAGACTCAAGTAAAAACCCCAACTGTTACCTGAAATCCCATATATATATATATATATATATATATATATATTCAACTTTGCTTTCAGCGGTGTTTTACGTCATCTGGTTTTGACAGAACAGTGTCACTTAATTTAGCGACTGATTCTGTTTCAGTACTGAACTGAATGAGAAACTGGCCAAGATCAACATGATGAAGAAACGTTTTGAAGTAGTGACACTTTCAATGGCAGCTCCGGAGGGGGAAGAGGAGAAGTCACAGGCTTACTATATCACAAAGGTGAGATCCACACACACACACACACACACACACACACACACACACACACACACACACACACACACACAACACAACCTACACACACACACACACACACACACACACACACACACACACACGCACGTAGTGTGCTGAAGCTGACCGGCGTTGTAACAGCACTTTGAATGCTGTTGTGTGCTTTTCACCAGGCTGCACAAGAGAAAGAGGAGCTCAAGCGGAAGGGAGACGATCTTGATGCTAAAATATGCCAGACGGAGCTGGAAAATAAAGCTCTGGAAAACACCAACCAGTTGTTCAACAACAGCAACTCAGCTTTTCGCAAATCCCTCAACAAAGTAAATGAATCGGGTACGTATAAAACCAGCAACTCAGCAACCACACTCTTAGGAGGGATCAACAGCAGGAAGTTATGTGATTTATGTCTTTTTTTGTCTTAGGCCCAGAATACCAGGAAAAACTGAAGTTAGAAGAGCGGCTCAGGGCGGCTGAAGAGACACTAAAGTACAAGAAAAGACAGATACAGGAGCTCCAACAGGACTTACAGGTTATTCATGTTTCTAGACAGTGTTGAACAGACTACGTAGAAAAAGCAATTAGCCTCCTGACTACTGAATACCTCAACTTATCACAGTTCATTTCCCGTTACACTTCTCACAGAAAATATGTCTTTGTGTTGCATTCAGAATATATCTTCTACACATTTTAAACACCTTAAACTCCATTGTCAAAGTATTTTTACATTAAATGTGTTGCCTTCTTCTCAATTATTATGTTTTTTGTTCATAATAGTTAATTGTATAAAGTAAACAATCATCGTCATGTTAATCTCCATGACAAATCATACTCTTTGCTCTAGATTGGGTTGCACCAACTATTCATAAATCAATTTTTCCATTTGTAACTTGTGTTATTGAGTCGTGTTCCTGTTAGAGTATTAGGTAAAAAAAAAAAAAACCCAGCACCACTATCTGTCTGAGTCATCCAGTGAAATTGGCCGTGCACAAATCTCTGTGCGCTTTGCTTTTGTGTGCTTACGTGAGTGTTTTTGTGTGTCGCTCTCCATTTCCAGGACATGAACAATACCTTGGAGAGTCTGCTGCAGGAAGAGCAGGTGGAGGAAGATAAGATGGAGCACAAACAATCACTCATGAGTAAACTGAACAAAGAAATCTCTTCCCAGCAGGAGAAGATTGACAGGGCAAAAAAACAGGTTTGATGTCCACCTGCACCAGTTTGGCTAGCAATTCATAATTTCATTATTGCAACAGTTAAATTGCTTGGAAATCAGGCTGATTTGTTTCATCTTGTTGGACACAACCCAGTGTAAGCTGCACACATCATGCACTGGCAGTGAACAGTAAAGGAGGAGTGTGTGAGTCTATATATAGTGCAGGAGTCCTGTACTATATACAGTATAGTGTTTGCTGTAATCATATTTTCACTTTGTTTTGTCCTACTGTTTGCAGAGCTCTAAGCTGACCAAAGAGATCCGCTCAGCCAAAAACACAAAGACTGAGACTTTTGAAGAAAAGGACATTAAGCTGAGGGAGTTGAAAGAATTCAACAGGAGTATCGATAAGATGCTGAATGAGGCCATGGAGGACGAGCCTGATCTCAGATCAGTGCTGGAGAAATACTTCCTCCAGGTATCAAATAGTTGGCACGGCATTGTTTTTATATTGAGCATTTATATTCCGCATTAAGTCATGATCAGCTGTGCTTTACTGTCAATAAAGGGATTTCAGTGCTTAAAGTGGCTTTAACTTGTTTTCTGCTGTTTCTCTCAGGCCAATCTGTCTCTTCCGTCTCCTTCTTCCACTCCGACCAGCCACAGCAGCTCCAAGACAAACTCTTCTCGCAGCTCTGCCTCTCTCAGGTCAGACTTCCTCGATAAAACCTCTTCTCCAGGGAATCTTGTTGCAGAGAAATGATGAGGGCTTTGTTGTCAATTGACCAGCTGAATTATTGGACTGAACAACGACTTGAGGAAAATGATTGTGTACTAAAGTCTCTTGTTAATAGGGGCTGAGAAAGACACTCCACATTGATTGTGAAAAAGTTTTCTGAATAAGATATTCACTCTGTGTTACAGGTCTCCTGCCTCCTCAGCCAGCAGCAGCCCCAGGGCCTCTGCACTTCATTCCCCCGTACTGAAGACTGTGGAACTGGGCTTGGATCTGACTGTGGATCCTCTCACCACCTCCAGACGTTCCAGTTCTGCAAGCAGCAGCAGCAGCAGCAGCAACAGCAGCAGCAGAAAGTTGAAAAACCCATAGTTGCACAGAATAACTGTCGCATTATTCTGAAATGTTATTTAAGTTGTGAAGAGAGGTTGAGGATAGTTGTGTGATGTTATGCTGTATTTTCATGTGTTAAAAATCTTATTATTCTTAATTTCACTCTGTAGTTATATTTATTAATGTAAATGTCACACATCCTGACTCCATTATCACCTGGGTGTGTCCACAGTGTGTAAATAGACTGAACAGATTGAACTAGAAACATGATCCGTGTTCCTCTCTCACTCAAAGAAATCTCAATAAAAAGTAGCTACAACTCTGCCTCAACTCATTTATGGTTATTTTAAGTTAAACTAAAACTGTTTAATAGCAAAAATTGCGTTTTTGGAACTGCAGCAGCAAAATCCTTTTCAGTTCTTTTTCTATATTTCAAAAACATATTTGGTTACTTGGTGGCTGGTGAACTTTGTATTTCACTGCTAAATAATAAAACAAATCACAACCTTAGAAGGGTAGAATGAGTCTTATTCTGACAGGATCTTTTTTTAACCTTGTTTTTCTGCTTGAGTTGCTCCAGCCCATACATTTCTTTGAGGAGTTATCTATTGTTTTTTTTTTTATAGGCCACACCCTTTGAATAAAAGGTGTCATTTCCTCGTACAGAACAAAAGTAGCCAGGGGCTCTGTGGGAGCAGAAGGAACACGTTCCCATGACAGATTTCACACTCTTCAAAAACACGAAAAAAGAAAGCTTCAACATGCTGCTGCTGATCCTGTTTTCTGGTTTGGCCTCGTGTGCTGCACAGTCAAGTGAGTGCTCCGACTGCTGATTCTTTTTAATATGTATACTGTGAGTAAATGTATTGAGCTTTTTCGTAAGTTAAACTGCCTAGATTTCAAATGTGGTCTACTTTATTTTAATGTTTATCCAGCACCCTTTCCCTCCTCTACTCTGGGGATTTCAACCGTGACGACTACTCCCTTTCTACAATCAATCCAGACAACAGTCCTTCCCACGTCTAATTCAATAAACAACAGTAGGTGCATTTTAAACTTGTGGAATATGATTCACCTAGAAGTCTGACATGATTGATGATTTTGTATTTAAGCATCTTTTTATTTGTCCCACAGCTGTGGCAATCCTTCAGACAGCTGTTCAGTCCAGGTTTGAGCTAAATGGAAGGACAGTTACTCTGATCTTAAAAGAGGTAACTCGCTAGTTTAATCTCCAATTCTGTCCATTATTTCTTTGATAAAAATTCTTAAAACCAATTCAGTATTCATTGTGCATGCATGGTTTAACATCACAGTGTAATTATTAACTGCTGAACCGGGGACCTGAATATAATGAGTTTAAAATGATTTGTGTTTCAGCTCCACAACATTATCCAGAGGTCCGGACCAAATCTGAAATTCACTCTGAATATAAAGAACGTCACTAAAGTCTGAAACCTTCTCACGTCACAGTTTTCTGCGTTTGTCCACTTGTTTCACTGGACTTGAAAAAAAAAAAAAAAAAAAAAAAATTAGGCTTTTGAAAATCCTCTATGTGGATAAGGAGGATCATCAGTGGTGTTTTTTTATACATGCGTTTAATTTTACTTTTGGAAATACCCCTTAAAAATGTAACATTAAGTTGTTCATTGGCTTGTTAAATGGGAGAGAGATTTTAACTACTCCAGGCTGGCGGGAGACAACACAACCCGTTCGAGTGTGTGACTGCCAGCCTAGTATACCCAAACAGTTAAAGCAGAAAAATGACAGACATGCTGTGTTGTGTAGTGGGTGGTTCTGAAAAGCCAATTTCTCATTTGAATTCAAGCAGTCCTTTAGATTCAGAATCAGGAAACTGACACAAGTGAAACCACAGTTAAAAGCAAAGTGAGCATTTAGACAGACACTCAAGGATTCAAAGGAAGATAATATTACAGATGACAAGTTTGACAATAAGAAAAATACATGAATAAAAGTGCACCTAAACCTCAGTCTGTGTGATAAGAAAAGACAGACAGACCGATGTTTGTAAGTGCTGCTTTAAGTAAATTTTCTGAGTAAAAATTGTCTGTTAAAAATCATGACAGGATGACGCCAATTTCAAAAAGCAGAAAATGTCTTTATACATTTTTAAGTTAAAACAATAACAAATCAACAACAGGGTAATTATAATGATTACAATAATAAAAAATAAAGAATTATGAAAAAATAACAAGGGAATGTTTTGTTGTTCATTGGCATGTTCTTGGTGCAGTTCAACTTTAAGCCACTAGAGGACAACATACACTGATGTTTAAGGCTTTGAGATGGGCCCCAACCATGGATGTATTATAATCCACGGCCCCAACCCTCCTCTCACACAATTCTCATCTTCATCCTGCTCACATGACACTTTTTCACCATCTACTACTAAAGCACAATGAAGTATTTTGTTTGGAATTTTTTCTTTTACTCAGTTCTTTAAACAGTGCACATCTTCAAAGAAATAAAACGAAATATCTTTCTTGGAACAGTCTCAGCCTGTCATGCTCCATGATAAATGCTGTTTGAGTTTAACTGAATCAATGTGACAGTATTAAAACAACAACATAAACTGATTGTAGTCAGCGTGAGAACAAATAGCCAGTGTGGTGTCAGTGAAGGCACTTACTTCTTTCTAGGTACAATCTTTCCCCTTTCACACGGCCCGAATCTTCTGTCCCAGCTGAAGTTTTTCTTTCCATTTCTGCTTCTATTTTACTGCTCAGATATTTTGTTCCAGTGCTTGAATTTGGCAGCCCACAACCTCCAGCCAACAACCGGCAAACCAGAACCTGCAAATCAATACATTTACACAAGGGATATATCGTTAAAATGACTTATAGCTTGAATGAGTGAATGTTGCTTGCTGTGGCTGCAGCAGCAAAAACTGAACTTCTATCACAACAGTAAGATTTTACTCATTTTTCTCAACCTTGAAGCATCTTTAGGAAATAATAATCTAAAACCCCCAAAAACTTGGTTCTAAATCTTAAAGCTTATATAATACGTATTTCGTCTTAACACGTGTGAGAAATGACCCAAAGAGAATCACATAAATTGTCTAATTTGCCTAATTTCATTGTCCTACTTGTACTAGGTGCAAATATACGTTGATGTTTGTGAGGGGGTCAGTTAGATATATGGTTGGAACATGAATAGTTTACAGGTAAATAATGTGGCAGCCTAATAAATGTAGACTAGTAAAACATCTCAGTGATGTATAATATACCAGACAGTTGACAAATAAAAGAAAGTAAGGTTAGGAATGTGTTGAGCTTCAGTGGTTGTTAAACTGGGTTCAGATCTGGTTACTGAAGGCCACAGCAAAATGATTCACATCATTTTCATCCTCATCAAACCATTCAGGTCACCAGGTGTGATCACCTGTGAATGGAGACACTGTCATTCTTCAGATTTTACTTTGTCACCGTCCGTATATTCACATATTTTCTGTTTCCAAGGTCAGGGATACACCGTCACTGTCATGTCTGTTAACTCTTTATCTACATACAATATGTAGCATATGTAATACATACGTGTACACACACACACACACACACACACACACACACACACACTCTCTCTCTCTCTCTCTCTCTCTCTCTTTAGTTCTGTACTCCCATGGATATATTGTAATAAATACATCCATGTGTGCTCCCATGGATCCATGTGTACTCCACGAGACCCCAAAACAATTTTCAACAACAACCACCACTTTACAGCAGCCCTACGGTAAGTCACGGGGGACACACTTCAAAAAGCCTAACACGCAGCAAACACAGGAGAGTCTGGCATCGTTCAACAAAAATATCACATTCAGTTCAATTTATCGGGCGTATCAAATTTGTGTTGAGTAACGCTCTTCCCAAACACTCAATGTTTCAGTTAAACTATTTTCAATTCATTGCTTTAACCTGTGTTTTTACCACACAAGTGAGCCATAGAGTAAACTCTAAAACTCCGTCGGACTTACTTCCGGTACCAAGTGATTGATTTTCTTCTAAAACAGGATGTAAGAGGACGATGGTTCCTGGAGACAGGCCTGATATTAAGGAGCAGATCCTAGTATTTTACTTACTAACCGCGGACTGTAATCAGAGCCAGGTGTGGTTCACTGACGCCATCATGTTTTTCTCGTCTGTATTTAAATCTGAAATGGCGCCACACGGTCCAATCACTGCACCCGTGAGGGCACTGAGTGCAGAGCTCCCCTCGCCTCGGGGTTTCCCCTCCACTTCCTGCTCAACCGTCTGTTACAGGTGTTAGTTTAGTTCCTCAGTTTACTTTTCTTATGCTGTTATTCACATGACTCGGCCTAGTCTGAGACGAGACACACAGGAAAGGAAAGAGTAAACCAGCTAACATGAAGTCCAGCTGCAAGTGACACAACATCCATAAAGGGACGGTCAAAATTCATAAGCTGCAGCTAAAAGCCATGAACTGCAGCGGGAAGTGAAGGTAGAAGTCAACAGCAGCTGTGCATGAAGTTCAAGTTCCTGATAAGTAATTATCACAACTTTCATAAGCATACAGTCCATTCATTTGAAAGCAATTTGACAAGATAAAAGGCTAAATGTCACTTATGTTATTCTTGTGCCCGAGGACAGTAAAGTCTATATTATCTGTCCTAAAGCTAGAAATCAGACAATCCCCAATTCCACAGACAACACAAGGGCACTGACTTTGTTCTGTCAACATGTGTATTTCATTAAAATATCGAATAAATGCCATAAATGACTAATTAAAATGTTGAATACACCTTTTTAATTGAACCCCCACATTAAGAGCTAATGAGTGCAAATGATGAACTAATAGGCGTACAGTAGAAAAACATACTCTGGAAATATAGACTAGCAAATGTCATATTCTAAAAAAGCCAAAGGCTTGTTTTCATCGGTCAGGCTACTGAAGTTATAGAGCTGAAATTACTTTAAGCCACTGTGAGAAAGGCATTACCTCACTAACCCCATAATCTACAGGAGCCGTGTAGTGCACCTCCTAACAGGTCTCATCCAGATTTTAAAGTGGACATAAGGTTTAAGATATAAAACATTAATTTTAATGTAAGAAATTACACAAACATTTCATGGCTTCACAGCATCAGAGTCCCATTCATTGTGTTTAGAGCAATCTGGGATGACGTTGCCGCTTTAAAAGTTTTCTGACTTTAGAGGAGAGTGCTGCATGTTCACAAATATTCACCAATCTGTTCTGGGGCACAGGAATAAGAGATGTGACTTCTTTAAAAAGGGCTAGATTCTCCTTTAAATTCACAATCCATGATTTATGATATAGTGTTTCATCCTCAAAACATCTGGTGCAGAAAAATAACAAACATAATGTTTGAACTTTGGCAGAAATGTCTGATCACATCGTTCAGAGTGACAAACAGGTTATCAGGGTCGTCAGTTTACATGTTTGACATTACTATGCATCAAGCTGACAGATACAGAGAAACCAAACATTAACTTCCCATTGTCCTTCATTGGAAACAGTTTTTGGTTCCCTATGGATTGGAGCGTGAGGATTGTCCAGAGTAATACAGACACTACTGCTAGAAAGACATGCTGCTGTTGATTTTTTTAATGTAGTTTTTTAATGCAGTGAGCAGCACAAACGGAGGTAGAACCATCATGTCCAGATACCAGTATGGTATTTGGTATGTGGTATATCTGGGAGCAGAAGGCAGGAGGTATTAAAATTAATCTAAACACTTCTGATATGCTTTGGACAGTGTTCAACAGTAACACACAATCCATAGATAATAGGCCAAAGCAGACACAATCACTGGTCTAATTCTAATAAAAAATACTTTTCTGTATGTGTACGTGTTTTCTATATTGAGATCTTTGGCCAGTTTCCTACAGTATCTTTCTCTCCCATGCTGTAGTCTGTGTTAATCAATGTTGTACTGCCCTCTTTTCCAGTTTTCCACATGACCCACGCACTCCCCTTTTAAGCCCTCGGAGCCGATTTGAGCCGACATTCAGAAGACGTCCGCACACTTGGCCACAGACTGGATACGGGCCTGATCTTCCTGACTTCACTATGACCCTGAGATTCCTGTTGGTAGCCTCAGCTCTCATTCTGGGGGCCACACTCACCATCTCGCTGGCAGACCGCACCGCACAGTGCAAAATCAAATGGTAATGTAGTTGTTTTTTCTTTCAGTGTTTGTGCAGAGTCAGCACTGGTATGGAAGCTTTCAGTGATTTGCCTATTTTTCTAATGACTGAGTTTTATCTGATTATTAATATCAATGCTGCAGCGTGTGTTCCTGCTGTTAATGTTCACAGTGCAGAGGCAGCATTATGTGACCTGCGAGGCATAGATAATGCTTTAAGATACTGTTTGGATTCCACTGCTGTCACAGTGCAAAATGGTCAAATACATAGTGGACAAGGTACTTTATGATTTCAGATTCCTGTGTGGTGTAATTTCTCATGCTTATTATCTCAGATACGGGCTCACAAGACTCACATTAGTCATGCAGTGCAGAAAAAATAGAAAGCTTTGATGATTAACAGAATCTGAAGCAGTTGTCAATTTTCTGATGCATGAAGTTCATCTTTTATTAATCAGATATTTCTCATGAATACAATATGAGCCTTCGACTGAACAATACATTAACAAATCTAACACTCACTGCTCTGCTCGGCTCTGCAGGTTGTTTGGGATCTCGTGCAGCGATGTCCAGGGGAGGCTGGTGGGCCAGATCAAGGCCTGGCAGATCAGGCAAAGCTGTCTGTATGCAGGGGAGCGGTGCTCGTACGAGGTCAGAAACATCTCACTCAACTAACATATTGTTGAATTTGAATAAATAACAAACAATTCATTTCTGTAAAAAAGAATCCACATTTTCACAGCAGATTCAGAAAGTGGGAAATGAGCCAATGGATGTAAACATGTTAGAAATGTTATGAATATAGATAATGAGTGGAGGCTGGTGTATGAACGTTATAGTAGTAATAATATAAAGTATGTCTTCATAGGAGAAGTTACAATTGCTGACAAACATTGTACATTATTAAACCCTTAAAATCGGTTTACAACCACATTATAGTGTGTAACAAAGCATTAATTAAATGTTTATGTAGTGATTTTTAATGGTAAATGGGGGTTTAAGTGTTGATTATGATTCATATGCTGAGTTTTTCCTAGGTCATGCACCTCAGTGTTCATATGTATGTAATACGCAGAAAAACACTGCATGGTTGTTATTGTAAATGCTATTAATTACTTTTCCATGTTATTTAAATTACTGAGTGGCTTGTGGTCCAGCCCTGACACACGGTCTCGTCTGTCATGATTTGACATGACTTGACTGTGATTTTGAAAAAAAACTTGAATAACTTTGGCTTAATGCTAAACTGCAACTCCCAACGGCTGCTACTACTCACACGAGTCCTCTGGGAAATTACTACAAACAGTTGTACCCGATGCATATGCACAATGTCCTCATTTCCATGATTAATAAAGTGAGCCTGACATGTGCAGTATGCAGTGCTCCTGTGAGACTTGACTGAATTTGAAATGTGCTGCAGCTTGTGTCGACAGCTCCTTACCTGATCAAAGCCACGCACACGTCTCCCACGACAAGGAAAGTGAACAACCTTCAGTTTCTTCTAGAGCAGTCCACCATCTGCAAAGTGACTGTGAGTACGATTCTTTTCTGAATCGGATCATGATGCAGCTCCAACAGAACCTGAAGTGTTTCCTCTATTTTAAACCACTCTGCAAACCTGTGCCCACAATAAACTTTGTTCAGGACCAAAGGACGCTATTTAATTCAAGTGAATACCAAATTTCATCAGTGTTTTATTTTATATTTGATTTCATGGAGCGATCATAAAAATGTTAAATTCTAGGTTTGATTATTTAACTCCTAGAAAATATCACACAGCTTCAATCAGATGTTGAAACAAGCAGATAGATAATGTGTGTGATGCTTAGGGGATGCTTAGTTTATCAGCTTTGATCTCTGATATTCCTCTTTCAAATACCGTTTCCCTTTTGGTCTTCTGATCTCTCTCATGTGCAGGGTGACGCGGTGTCTGAGTTTTCCAAAGATCCGGCTGACAACAGCACAAACTACTGCAGCCTCCAGAACCTGATGGATGGTAAAAGTTCTCTCTGTTTGGCTCACGATATCTGTGATTTACTCAGTCATTCATGTCAGTAATTTTAATCTACATTACAACAAAAGGTAACAGCCAGGGTTAACAATGTGTGTGTGTTTTTCTCCGTTCAGGAAGTGACCTGATCGATGCTGAGGGATACAAACAGTTCAGCAATAAGTGGATTTGTCCTGGGTTTGATGCTGCAAACTGCACCATGTCTTAGGAGGAGAGTAGATCCTGAGTAAACAGTGCATTTATTCTCTGTAGTTCCTGTGTGCATAATTTAGTTTTATTTTGAATGATTAATACTTTTTAATAGTATCATGAAATGACAAGTTGCAGACCAGTTACCGGGAACAAAAGGTTTGTTTTACATAAATTAAATGAAAACAATGGAGGAATTTTGTAAACCACTGATGCACAGAAATTTAACCTGAATAATATTTAAATGTTTAATGGCTGATTTTGTTTTTACAATAAATGAATTAACTGCTTTTTGTCACTCCTTAAGATGAAGACTAAAAACAAGGTAGAAACAAAGAAGAACAGAATGATAAGAGACTCCCCTGTACTGAGGCTCCATCAGCCCACGAGTATGTGATGCTGTACTGACAATAATATTTCATTATTCTATTTATCTACAATTTGTCATGAGTCCAGTTGACTAAGAATACATAATAATTAGTTTTATTTTAGGGAATTTGCACAGTCCCAGTAAGAAACTGGTACTTTGGAACGCAGGTGACGGAGTGTGACACACATTAGCTGAGAAAATACACAAATATGATGTGAAAAATCTTTGCAGTTTAATCATTATACAAAGTTAGTCCATAACAGATACTTCATTTCAAAAGAAAATCTACATGTGTAAATATAATCTTTGGTGTGTATTTGACAGCAGTTTAACATGTGAAAAATAAAGTAATAATAATGATACAATCTGTTATGAATGCACAGAGAGGTCAAGTGCTTTGAAACAGAGCTGCATCTTATACACTGACGTGATGGAGAGGTTGTGTTCATCATTCAAGTGCTGTCGAGTTTGAATGGTTTCCTTTCAATAAGAGCTGGCATTAGGGGGACATACATTTTACAATACACATTGATTTATTATTATTATTAGACAGTTAAAACAGAGACACACAAGCCTTTGTTTCAGTCCAACCTGCGCCATCTGCAGGTAAGAAATGTAACAGCAGCAGCAGCAGCAGGTTCGTTCTGCACAAATGTTACTTTTCTGTAGGTGTCGCTGTTTGACACGTGTTGAACTGGACAATGACCAAACAGCTCCCCCTTGTGGAGAAGCTGCTGCAGCAGCGAGGTGGTGAATGAGTTTCCCACCAGTTTGCAGAAAGTGTTTTGCTGACGTGACAACTTGGTGCAAAGGTAGCATGACTCGGAGCTGCCAGCAGACAAACCACACTTCAGTCAGATGATCCTGTTAAATCTCTGAAGCTGATTATGAGGTTAATTGATGAAAGACAATATGTAAACTTGTTGGAATCAAACATTTAAATTGAAACTGTTTATCAACAATACTTGTTGAATCTTACAAATATATAGTGTTTTAAATTTGAGGTTATTTACATATGAATATATGATCAAATCATCTCTGGATATGTAAGATTATTACTCCTGCCAGTTAAAGGCTATCACATGACTTGATTCTAGCCACATATTTTTTAAACAAACAAAAAGTAATCATCTCACATCTTCACACAAAAATAAAATGTGAGCTCGATCTACATATTTTTTAATAGTTTTATTAAATCCTCATAGAAAATATTATTCAATCTCTGTAGAAAATGAAATCGCATTTACAGAAGAAAGCAACAGTTTGCAACAGTCTCTCAAGTGCCGTCTCCCTCGAGGTGAGTCATTTGAGACATCAGGCCTTTTTTAACTTGACCTGGCCAGAAGTAATCCTCATGTTGTGAGTCTACGCTTTGCTGCGCCGTCCTTGTTTTTCAGGGCTGGGGCCTCAGGCAGGAGGCGGCCCAGCCAACGACGTAGTCTGTCTGCAGTTCACTGTGTTTTAGTGCCTGCTTGTGTTTCTGTCTGCACGTCAAATTCAGTCAGGCAGCAGTAGAGCAGCGTCTGGGTGTATTTGGTGGCAAAGGCTGGAGGAGGGGAAGAGGGAGGGTGTGGGAGGGATGTGAAAAGACAAAGGGAGTGGAGAGGTCAGCTACAACTGTCACTGATAATCCAAGATGATTCATGCTGTATTTTAAAAGTGATATTGAGTCAGACAGTGTAAAGGATTTAAATATTATAATGAACTTCAGTAACTAAGTAGAGAAGTGTTCCCCCACCGTTTATCACTTCCTCTCCACATGTTTCAAATGGCTAAAACAGGACAATATATAACTGATATTCATACCTTAAAATAAAATTAAAACACAAATATACTGCTCTGAAATATGATATTTTCTGTACATGGACATTCGAGGCCAAATCTTACCATTTATGTTGCGTATGAATTTGGGCCTCTTCTCCTCAGGCAGGTAAATGGCCACATAATAAACTGGCACCCCAGAGAGGGCAATGCCAATTCCTATGAGAGAGTTGATTGTGTCTCCGTACAGAGGGACGATGACTAAGAACAGGCTGCACAGACAGTAGATGAAGGGGAAGATCAGGGTCAACTGTGGAGAGAAGTAGACAAGCATCTCCGGTTATTTAAGTTCAAGGAGCTCAAATTCGCACAAAGGTACAGTAACTGGCTGAATGTACTCAGTCACTTTCGACTGTGTGCAGCACCTTGACAGGCCTGTGTCTGTCTGGCTGAGTGATGCGCAGGTAGATGAGGCCGGCCACAGACAGACCCACGTAGAGCCAGTAACTGAAGCTGAAGTAGTTGATGAGCTGGAACACGTCCTCCACACACAGAAAGATCAGGCCCATTAACCCCTGCAGCCACACAGCACAATAAAAAGAACATGTGCCAACCCGTCATGTGACCGTTTTCTGCTCTTTGAAGTCACGTGTACGTGCTGGCATTTGAGGTATTAAATGTTCATTTGTATAATTAAGAGTGAGGTAAATGCTCCTCACATTAAACAGCAGGGCAGGTATAGGCGTGTAGCGCTCCAGGTGGATCAGACTCAGACTGTTGGGGAGGTGGCCCTCTCTGGCTCCAACGAAAAACAACCTGCATGATCAATAAAGATGTAAAGTTACTGTCAAAATACTCATCATGATGTGGGCCTCAAGTCTGCCTGTTCAGTGTGTTGTGAGTACCGTGAGGCAGCAATGATAGAAGCATTGAGTCCTCCGTAGCAGGACATGGCCACTGAAACAGGGATGATCCAGTTGAACGGGCCGAGGACTGCATTCCCAAATGTCTGCGGGATCAGATTCACTTGGTCTATTAAGCTCTGGGTCAACAAAGCCTATAAATACCTCAGAGCATTGTATGATCCAGAATTCACTGACAATTCACTGCAAGCTGCTTCTGCTTTAATCTCTGCAGCCTTGTTTTCTTCTCAGAGGGCAAAACGTCTCAGGCCAAACATTTCTAAGTAGAACAGGACTATATTTAGCATCATCTCTCTCTCAGGTAGCTGTTGGGCCCGGTCCCAGTGTCCACATTCACGGACTCAACACACTTTGAGTTGCATTCCTGCAAAGTCCATGAGGGCTTACGGCTGTCCCGCTGCCAAATCATCAAGTGCATGAAGGCTCTGGCGCAGACATTTTGAGCCCTTATGCACACTTCCCATTAAATTTGCATTTCTGCAGACTTTGCCTGACTTTACCCACAGTTCATAGCGTTGTGATGTTAAACACTGGGTTACCACCGGGGAAGCATTAAAAAAATGGTAAACAACCACCATAAAGCGGAAAAAAGAAGAACATAGAAGAAGAATGGTTAACAAACAATCATGAAAGGAACAAACCCTAACGTTACATGTAAGTATTTTTGGGTCATAGAATAAACACAGAGCTTTCATCGGCTCTTATCCAATATAATTTTTTTGTTACAAACAGGGAGCAAAAAGAGGAATAAAGTCTGTGAAGGTTCAGGATTTAGGCCTTCGAGGCGCCATTGGGATTAAGCCTTGGTATCTTACCACAGCAACGGCATCACTGGCCAGCAGAGATGACATATCCAGAACCACGTAGTACGCCACGTTGGTCAGCAGGTAGATAATGGTCACTATGGGCATGGAAATCGCAATGGCCAGGGGCAGATTCCTACAACAACAAGCACACAGTGTGGTTAAATGACTCAAAGAAATCTGCAGAATAGGTTTCACTCAAGTTGCACTTCACACCTTGTCAATACATTACGTTGTAATTCCAGCTCATGTGATTTTATTTCTGTTCTTATTTTGTCAAATTCGTCTAAACACTACAAGCAAGAAATGTAAATTACCACCTCACGGTTGTTTGCCTCTGCCAACCAGTCAAGTTGCAGTTTAGATCCATGTCTGTCCAGACTCATCTAATACATGTAGCGAAGAATCTGAAGGTATTTAATGAAAATGTTTTTGTTACGCTGTATGTCTATTGTATCAGTGTGGAAGTTCATTGAGAGAAACAAAAAACAGTCAAATTCCTTATATGTGTTCACATGCTTGGCCAATAACGCTGATTCTGATAAAAACACAAAGTTGTTGCCATGGCAGCAGACGAAGCTTCAAATATGGATGCTGCTGCAAAGAAGCTACAAATTCTAAAATGTGAAATAAAATGTCTAAAATGTTTCACACACATCTTCAACCCAGCAACACAGAACATCTATACAAGATCCACACAGTGTTCTGGTGTTGAATACTGGCCAGAAAATCTTTTCGCAACATTATGATTCCATAATAAAAGTGACCTTTGACCTTTTGGATATAAAATGTGATCACTTCATCATTTCATCCTATTAGACATTAGTGTGACATTTTATGTAACGCCTTGAGGGAATTTCTTCAAATTTGGTACAAACATTCATTTGGACTCAAGGATGAACTGATTAGATTTTGGTGGTCAAAGGTCAAAGGTCAAGGTCACGGTGACATCACGTTCTTGTGAACATGATATATGAGGAACGCCTGGATAGAATTTCATTACATCTGCCACAAACATTCACTTGGACTCATTGATGAACTCATTAGAATTTAGTGGTCGAAGCTCGATTCTCCATTTCATGAACTAACTAGTCACTTACTTTGTTGTTTGGTTCAATTCAATTGAGTCATTTGATGATTCTCTGCGGCTTCATCACAAAGAGCAACACTTTTCATAAATAGTGAGTACAGCCATTGTTGATATAAAAATATTGATTGTAGCAGCTTTAAATCAAGTCTAAATAAATATCTGTTACTGGAAGTTCGGTATTTTTTGGACAAATAGAAAAACATTCAATGAGTTTTATGTTTTAGCACAATTTTCGGTGGCTCATTTTCACGATCTGTATTAACCTTTTTTTTTTAATATTCAGAAGCATGTTAGCCATTCAGCGCTGGGTTGTTCGGAGACTAACTGTGAGTAGATCAGTGAGCCAAAAACAGGAAGGAAAAGTAAATTAAAGTGTCAAAAGTGTCTGCATAAGGCTCAAGTATATATATGTACATGTCTCAGAGTGTTTCTTTTGGTACGTCTGTCTGATTACCTCTCTGGATTCTGAATCTCCTCTGTGACAAAATTGAGTGTATCCCAGCCAGAGTAGGAGAACAGAGCAGAGTAGAGGGCCAAAGCTATGGCTCCAGGATCTGTAGAGGAGCCCTCAAACGGACTGTCGAAGCTCTTTGTTGCTCCTACACAGATAGAGAAGTCAGAGTTTGAAACACATGGCATTTATTTCCTGTTTCCTTTTATGCATTCGTATTTTTATTTGAACCTACCAGTAGATAATTTCAGGAGTCCTACAATGATGATGAGGAAGAGCGCCATGAGTTTGGCGTAAGTGAAGATGTCCTGGACTAGAGTCCCCCACTTCACATAGGCACAGTTGATGAAAATGAGCATACCTGGATAAAACAGATAAATAAGTCAATGAATGAATCTTCTTCTGCATGACTAACATATTGATTTATACAAACGAGGCCTAACACAGCTTCTGGTACAACTTCTGCTTTTAGGTGGCATGTGCAGAGCAGGCAAAGAGCAATCATTCAGGAAACAGTGGGAAAACATTATTGGTCAGTTTCTGAAATTCATTTTATAAGAAGTTGAATTTTTATTTTTTTTTGTTCTTAGCCAACCATCTCAGCCTCATTCAGTATGTGGGTACAGAGAGAGCGGTTCACGACTCATGGCAGTGCTGCTCTCTCACCTAAATACCATTTGTGCCAACTACATTCTTCACAGCACAAAGCCGGCTGTAAACCACAGTGGTATTTGTACAGTACTGGAGATCCAACTATAGCCTGTGCCAGTCCCACGAAGGGTTACAGAGTTTGATACTGCGATGAATGGAAATTACTGCTGACAAATATATTATATTTCCTGTGACTACTTCAAAATAAAAGCCATCCCAGTTGAAAGGTTTTAATGTGAACTAGCAGCAGTAGGAAATGTTGGGTTTGCATTAGCAATAATTTAATCCAGCTCTGTTACTGAGTTGGAAGAGTGAATAGTAAACACTTAGGCTGACATCAATAAGATAAAATTACACACTGTAAACCTGGAAAACATACGTGTATCGTTAGGTGGTTTAAATCCAGAACAGGATTGGCGGACCCTGCCACTAACAACTGTATAGAGAGGTAATTACTGAATGTAATTATATTGAATGGCTATTGTTAAAAAAAACAAAAAAAAAACGTAAATAGTTAATTAATAATTTCACGGAAATTGTAAGGTCAATAACTTTAATGGTCATATATTGTATAAAGTGAGATTTCCACATCTTTTTTTGATTATAAAGCAGGTCTAGGTTCTTTGTTAATACTGTGAAAGTATCAAAATGATCAGTGAGCAGAGAAATGCACACAGCCCCTATTCAGAAACTGTGAAACTGTGTCTTAAAATGAGCCATCAGCACTTCTGTAACTTTGTGATGTCACTCAGACCCCACCATCCAACTTTGCAGGATTTGGTTTCTCTGAGTGTTTACCTGTAATCTGCTACATTTTTTATTGGAATACTCAGAAAACAGTGAGCCAATCAGAAGAGAGGCTCAGAGCCTCCTCTTTTCTGATTGGACCACTGACCTGTTGTTGCTAGAGCTCCACAGAGAAGTCAGAGAGAGGAGATGTAAAACTATACCGAGATGGTTTTTGGAACTTAAAATCACAAATTTATCTTCTTATGGATCAACACTGATCAACACCTATACGTGCTTTGTTTCAGCCTTCCTCTGCCTGCAGAACCGCAGTGGCGGCAGTAAACTCACTCTTGTGTTTCACAATACAAAATGTGTGGACATACATTCACAGCTAAAAAGCTGATTAACTTTCACTAAATTACATTCTCAATCACAGACTGCTTTTCTTTTTTTTTCTCTTTTGCCGTGGGGACTTTGCAACGTGTTTTTCTGGGTAATGAATTAAATGCTAAATCTAGTATATCTCACACACACACACACACACACACACTGGAGTTTTTCTTACAGAGGCAGGCTGCAGCGATGAGGCGGACAGCGTTGTACGGCGGTTGGCAGGTCGGATAGAGAGCCTCCACCAGGTAGTTGGCAAAGGTCAGTGAAATCACAGCCTGGCTGGCTGGCTCGATCAGCAGGATGGACGTCCACAGGCGGATGAAAGCCGGGAAGCTGCCAAACGACTCCAGGATGTAGGCGTAGCTGGCTCCAGACTTCGTGATGGTGGTGCCAAGCTCTGCGTAGCACAAAGCCCCGAACACTGAGAAGATCCCTCCGACAGCCCAAATCACCAACGACAGTCCGTAAGAGGCGCTGTGCATGAGTACACCCTTTGGTGAGACAAAGATCCCAGAGCCAATCATGTTGCCCACGATGAGGCAGATTCCATTCATGAGAGAGATTTCTCTCCTCATCTGCATTTTCTCTTCTTTTGGGGCCTTTAAGTCTTCGTCAGACGGAGCCCGTGATCTCGGGCATATTGTCTGTGACATAAGCCCTATCTTCTGCCTCAGATCCTCCATTGGTCTTGCAGAGCTGGTGTGGGGATGATGAAATAAGAATTAGAGGGAATCTAGTTTAAATAATTAATATGACACGATTCTTGTACTTTAAACTTCAACTACACAACTCCAGGCTGAAACATAAAAGCTGAACACCGCCCTGTTAATATCCAGTAAACAAGAAAAGGTCACACATGCTCAAAGGGTCACTAACAGAAATGTTTTTCTTCATAGTCCACACTTCCTGGCTCCAGACATTTATAAAACCTACTTAACAGGTGTGATAATTCATAAAAAAAAGGGCAAATGTGGAAAAGAAAAAGAAAAAGGAAAAAGGAAGTGAATTTACCTTATGTTTTGGTAAATCTAACAGTGTATTTGTCCGTCTGAACATGTAGTGTCTCTCAGGTCAGTGCTGCTCCTCTGAGCCAGTGAGACATTGGTGAGATCATATCTGAGGTAGCAACATGACTGTCAATGTTGCAATCGCTGCAGCCCAGCACGACCACAACGGGTGTTTTTCCAGCAGCAGGCGAGCTGAAACTCTCGTGTTCCCCTCTGTGCTATTTTCAGAGACAAGCAGACCTCGTCCCTGCCCCCAGGGAGCCTTCATCAGCAAAGACAGAGGGAACCAGTCTGCTTCTGGGTCAACAGAAGACCAGTCAGTCATTAAAGAACATTTAATGATTGGCGATTGGTCCGACACCTGCTTCTCTATCAGTCACTCGGACAGGTTGCTATACACTTGAACAGACTAAGAGCCAGTGGGCCCCAGACATTTAAAAGTCCCCCTTCTACATAGGAGCAGGACGCCGAAAATAAAAGTGCAAAATGCAAACTGACTCTTCTTTGTGCTAATTTTACATCTGTGGTATTTTGCATCTCTTTATAATCCTTTTGCACCTCTTTGTAGTAATTTTGTAGTTTTATGTTGCATCTCTTTGGGGTTGTTCTGTCTTCTTGTTGTGGTTTATGCATCTTCTTAGTCCTTTTGCACCTCTTTAGTGATGTTGCTTCTCTTTGAGGTTGCTTTGTGTCTCCTTGTTGGTTTGCTTCTCTTTGCATCTGTGTAGTCGTTTTGCATCTTGTCGAGGTTGTTTTGCATCTCTAGGTGTTACGCATCTCTTCCAGTGACATTTTGTCCCAGGTAGGCCTGTTCAGTATTCCACGGTTATACACAAGCCCTCTTACTTCTTGGCATCCCGATCAGTAGCTTAATATAGATGATAACATTATATGACCTAACTGTTCTAACTGACTAAATATTGCCCTGGATTAATGATACATAAAAAGAAAGACAGAAAGAAAGAAGACGAAAGCAGGCAGAAGTAAAAACAGAGTACCAATTTTAATGCGTTTGATACAGTTTGTGAAAAATACCTAGTTGTTGAAACCACAGCTTCACATCAACTGAACTTTATGTAACACATAATATTACTGATAAACTGACATTGATAATGACACGGGCACTAAATTATGTCCCAAATTATGGGCCAGGCAACGCTACGAATATCAAATCAACACTTAAAAAAAACAAAACAATGCATGAGTTTTTAACAACTGATCACGGATGAAAATACATATAAAAAGATGACACCATCATCTACAATACAAAATATGTTAAACATATTTAGGCTATTAAATTTGTAGCATTTTTACTCATCCTTGCTTGATATGTGTGTAAAAGGCTTTTGCACATTACTATAGTTGAGACTCAAAGCAGAATATGAGGCACAGTTATCAAAGACAAGGCAATACAAGTCCAACATCATGGAAGCATATCGACCTTGTTGGCCTTCCTGTTGTCATTTAAATGACGTTACATCACTGTGTAATATTTCTTGTAAGAATGACCTGCTGGGGTCCATTTCCCACTGTGTAGTTCAAAGTGCAGTTGTTATTGAACTGCAATTTATTTTGGACTTAATGACAGGGAGCCTGTGTATCCACATAATGAGCAATGAGGAAGTGCATTTATGTAGAGAAATGGAAAGAAAACAAAAGGTTATTCTGTGATGAATGTATGGATATACAGACCGTAGCTACAATACTGTAATGTGAGCACCCATTTGATAAAGTGAAAGTAGTGACGACGGCAGTAAGGCTCTTCATGAGAAACTATACACATACACACTAGAGCTGATATGATTAGTTGATGGTCAGAATATTATAATAATCACTTAATTGATAAAGTTATTTCGAAGCATTAATACCAAAGGAAAATCACTGATTCCAGCTTTTTAAATGTAAATATTTGCTTTGTTTTCTTAGTCTTCAGTCTTCTAAATACCTTTGGGCTTTGACTGTTGTTCAGAAAAAATCCAACAGTTTAAAGATGTCACCTTGGGCTCTGGGAAACAGTGAACTGCATTTTTTGTTTTTACCATTTTCTGAACCATAAAAGACCAAATGAGAAAATTATCATCCAGTTACTCGACAATGAAAATCATCATTAGATGCAGCTCTATCACTCGCGCACACACAAACACAAATGAGTTAAGGAGGACTGAAAGTAACGAGCGTGTCATGGGAATAGAAATCATTTGTTTCTTTACTACAATGTATTTTGGCACAAAGAATATCCATTACATGTTAGACATTTGAATGAAGTGACAGTGAATTCTGGGGCTGACAAACAGGTTTTACTCTTATATATAGAGATAAAATGATGCTACCGTTTTCATGTCGATGTATTTTCTTGCATTGAACAGATTTATGCCTTGCTGAATGTCTAGAAGAAACAGATTTTACAAGTCTTACTGTCAGTTTGAGCAGATTTAGGCAGCACACATACAGTAGAAAAAGTTTCACAATTAAAGAGTAATAAACTGAGCAGCGTGACAGCTTAGACTGTACCGTACAGTGCTACAAGCAAAGCGGGTTTGATTTACTCTGTTCATGTATTGCATTTGTCTCAACTCAGCAGGATAAAAATGTGACTCTTAATTTTCAATCTTAGCTCAGAGCGCATGGAAGAACTTTAACTCTTGAAGCATCCAGATGAGTCTGAAGTGTCTAAAGTGAACATTATTAAGAATACTGAGAGGTGATGCCACTACTGAGAAGACCAAAAGAAATCAGAGGGCAGATCACTTTAGTCCACTTTGACATGCAGACACGCACGCACACACACACACATACATACACATCCTTCTCCTTCTGGGTGTTATATTACAATCTCAACTTCCTCTTTACACCAGGTCCCAGTGACTCTCTTTAGCTCAGTGGTAAAAAGAGAGGGAGGAAAGAAAACTTTCCACACAGTCACAGTCTACCAAAATCACAACTCAATCCAACATTTCAGCTGAGTTACGTGGCACTGTTAAAGTTCAAGAACACGTGGTTAGATTGCTATCATTAGCTCTGGAGTATTTCTTGTACAGCACTTGATGATGCATTTTCTCATTGGTTTATCAATGGATATGTGCTTCAAACCAAGACAGACACCCTTTGTTCCTTTGAGGGCCACGTACCCCTTCACAGGTGGGACACATTGTCAGGAAAGTCAACCCATAACTACATGATACTTTTAGATGAGATTGCTATAATAGGAATACATCTTATTTTTCTTGCAGATTTACCAGCATGTTAACAGTCGTCCTGTCACTTACTCAGATCAACTGAGTGTATCGAGGATGTCTGCATTCTACAAATAAGGCTGCGCGCGCGCACACACACACACACGCACGCACGCACGCATACGCGCACACACACATAAATAAAAATACTAGGCTACATAACTAATGGTAACATACCAAAATGAGTGAAACCCTGGAATACATCCACTCAGTGTGTGAATACTATAAATAAATCACCTCATTTAATCCAGAACATTGTTAAATAAAATCGATGATTCAGTCAAAATCTTTTGATTCTGATAATACAGAATCGAATCCGTCTCTTACTGATGAGTGGATATTAACTTTCCAACCAGTAGTTTGGTTCAGTACCTGTGACGTGTTTTTCTCAATCCTTTTCGGGGAAAAACCGGCAGGAAACATGGTGACCATCTTGATGACAGCGGGACCAGTAATCGTCAACTTTAGTGTAACGTCGGAACAGACTGTAAACTGGATATTTTCCATTGCTTGGCTGAAACTGCTGCTACATGTTCCTGGGGATATTGTAGGACGTGGACATTGGCGGTGCGCTGGGGACGATGGCTGCGGTAGGGGAGCTGATTTCGGCCGGGTACGGCTGAAGACCCATCTGCTTGTTGTCGTGCAGCTTGCGGACGACAATGCGGCAGAAGTCTTCGTTGTGTCTGTGACAGTTGTCCAGGAGCTGGCGGACCTTGGCGGTGCGAGTGGCCTGGTTCACCACAAGTTCGTAATCCTCTCGCATCAGCATGGAGCGGGCCAGCAGGGCGTCCAAGCTCTGGTTCAAACAGGCATCTGTCATCTGGAGGACGATCTCCTCACGCCGTGTTGCGATCCACTGGGCGATGGGGCCTTGTGAGGGTGGGGACTGCTGCAATGGAGGAGTGTAATTCACTGTGAGGGAAGAAAAAGAGAAAGAGAGCTGTGATTCGGATTTTGCAAAAATATGTCATATTGTTATCATTACCTGTTATTAGCTATGTCAAGTCAATTTTATTTATGTACCCAAATTCTCAAATTTGCCTCAAAGGGTTTTACAATCTGTGCAACATAGGACAGGTTCTATCCTTACAGCCTGGTTAAGAAAAAACTCTTACAGAGAATCACAGGTAGGAAGGGGCATAAAAAACAGACAAAAAAGGCAACTTCCAGGTGTCGCTAAACCAGATCTGGGCCACATCACCTCCCCTCTACCACAAAGACCAAAAACAGACTACATATACACACAACAGGAAAGACATACTGTATGCTTTCAATGCTTGTACCTTGTTGCTGAGGCTGTGGCTTGAGGGTGAGGTTGTCCAGTCGAGTCTCACACTCGGTCACCGGCAGGCCAGGCTTGATGGGAATGTTCAAATCTTTCAGGGGCCTGGCGCTCTGGAAGTCGTTGAGATTGTTGATTTGGCTGTGGTCCTTCAGAGACTCTGGAGGCTCCAGAGTATTAGTTATGAATGACGGTGGAAGACTACCTACATGAAAAAGAGCAGAGCAAGAGGTGTGATGTACCCAGGCGACAAATGAAGCTCATTTTATATTAAATGTTACATCTGATCTCGTCTGTGCTCTTGCCATCTTGTCGATGGTGAACCATGCCCTTATATGTTGTACATTTATAAGATATACATAAATCAATGCTCAATCTCACAGCAGCATAACCACTAATTAAATGATGCAGAGACATACATGCCAGTCTCGCTGTTACCTTTAGACGGTGCAGCATTACTGCTGATGAGGTCACCTGGTTGGGATATGTCTGTGTCCTGGGAAGAACAAGAGGCTGAGCCCGAGCCTGAACTCTCCTGTGGCAGAACAGACAGTAATGCTTCATTTCCACACACACTCACACACTTATACAGCAGTAATCACATAAAAATACCAAAACATACAAGGCTTAAATGTAGAAGTTGCTCCCCCAGTATCACTGCTTAATTTTAGACTTTTTTTTTGATATTTCCATAGACATGTCAGTTAAAGACATCCATTTAACAGCTAAATGCATGTACTCCTCAGAGCATTACTTGGCCAGCATAACCTGAATGTAAGTGAAGATGAGTGGTTACTGACTGGCCAGGGGCTGGGACTGTTCTTCAGCATGTTCAGGGATCCCTTCTCACTCCTCTTCTCACACACCGTCTGAGCTGAACAACAGCCTGATCTCTGCCTCAACTGTGGAGTGAGGAAGACGAGGTGGATGACAAACAGGGAATGAATCACAGTGACAGGGAAACTTTGTGGGCAACAAGCAAATGTTAAGAATGTGTTAAATTAAATACGCTGGAATCAGAGCTAATTAAACTAATAAAACAGCTAGACTAAGTAAAACGCCTTATTTGGAAACCCTTATATAAAAGAAAACACTGTAACTTCATGTCCACATAAGGAAACATGTATTTTTCATTTACAAGAGGAGAAAAAAAACAGCTTGTTAACCAGAAGAGTTTTCATGTGTCTGACAACACAGTTAAATGTTCACTTCATTACTTCTTATATTTTCTCCTGGTGGAAGTTTTGCTGCCTTTAAGTGTTGCTCATATCAAAGGGTCAATAAAGGTCATATCAATTTTTGGATTTAAAAGCTGTGCATTGTGTAATTGTTTTGTTGCAGTTAAAGCAAGAGGGGATTGCAATGAGTACTCGAATTACTGGACTTTTGGCAGCAACATTTGTCCTGAGTATTCAGTTTCCTGCAGCAAGGGTGATTTGGAGTTACTCTATTGTACTCTATTTAAAACCCAAGATAGGAATTTAATATTACTCCCAATAATTGACAAGTCTTTTAATACACAGACATACTGACATACTAACAATAGACAATAAATACCTAGAATTCATTTCTGAGTTCCAGCACAAAGAAATGTTGGTTTTCATTAGTAATTAATATAAAAAGTGGAAAAATAAGAAAATAAGCCTGTATTTTCAACTATCATCATCTGAGAATCTCTCTCTCTTGAGGCAGTCGAGGCAAACGGCCGAGCACCCTGAACCTGCTTCTGCTTGAGGTTTCCTCCTGTTAAAAGGGAGCCTTTATTTGCCACTGTTGCCAAGTGTTTGCTCATGAGGGAATATTGGGTCTAGGTAAATAGTATTATAAAAAGTAAGGTCTAGACCCGCTCTGTATTCAAAGTGACCTGAGATAACCTCTGTTAGGATTTGGCCCTGTTAAAACAAAACTGACTTGACCTGACTAACACAGCAATTGGTTTTACCTGTTCTGGATAATCACAGCTATCTACTAAGGCCTAATCCTACTTTAACTTACAGGCAGTAGCTTTCCTGTAAAATGTTTCGTAATTGGAAGCAATGGTCTCCCTCACATGTACACACACCAAAACTGAATAGAGGAAGGATATGGTAAAGGGAAATTATGAAGCAAAGTTTTTGACCTGTCATCCTTTATTAGTCACAGACTAAATCTCAAACTGTCCCAGATTACACACAGTTAAACCTTTAGCCCCCCTTCTTTGTGCAGAGACATCAGATATTCAGCTTTAGTTTGCTGTTTGTATGTTCCTGAACAGGGAGATTACCCTACACCACTGAGACATGATAGAAAAGCAAACAGCCTTTGGATTATGTAATAATTACTTGTTTTTTAGTAATCGTGTATCCAGGGAAAACCTGCTGAGAATGTGTGTGTTATGTTTCCTGTAGTTACACACATCTATAGCTTGGACCTGCCCTGTGCAGTTAAAATCCCCCACAGGTGGACACTAAAATGCTGTGGGGCAGTTGGCTGTTAGATGAACTGTTCAGTAAATAGGAAAACACCTACAGAAGATGATTTCCTGCCTAAATCAAAATGACAACCTTTTTAGTGTAATGCCCATTTTTCTAACAGCTACTGTATGTTACCAACGTCCCCATTCTGTGTGTTATCATCAAAGGTGAGCAAACTCAAGTCTCCCTCTGTCTCCGTTTCCATACCCATCACCTCCATCACAGTGAACCAGAACTGGGAGAACTGATAGTCTCTGGGTTTGAGGTGCCGACCATGAACCACAACATCCCCAGTCTGAGTCCAGCCAGTGACCTTTGTTGCATGTCGTTCCCCAACTTTCTCTACCCTCAGCTCCCGTGGTGCTCTACTCTCAGCTATCTAATTAAAGGCATACAATACCTAAAAAAACATAAATAAAACACTGTTAAAAGCCTGTGACTGACCTTTGACCTCTTGATCTGCAGCACGGCCTCCAAGAAGTCTATTTCATCAAACGTTCTCACCATGGGCTCCAGCTCAATCAAACACTCTGAAATGGCAGGAAAACACAACACACCATTAATGTACGTCACACTGTGAAATCTAGTCAACAAGGAAGGACAAAACTATCTTTAACTAGTATTACTTTTCCCCCAAGTCATGTGGTTGTATCAGTTTGGACAACAGCTCACAAACTTTGCCTATTTGGTCTTTTGTTTAAGTGACTCACGCACAGATGAAAGAAAGTTGTACAGTCATTAAAACATTACAGAAAACAAGTTCATAAATCTGCTACATGTTTTGATTATCAAAGGAGGGTTTGATTATTTCAGTCATAAAAAGCAGTTGCCTTGAACATGTATACTTTGAGTCAGTGCTGAGAGATTCATAGTGTTTCAGTGAAGACAGAAGAAAATTTCAGTATCATGACAGGAAGCTGATACTTAGTCACTGCTGCTTCGTTAGGGTAAAATTTAGCATGCGAAAAACGTGTCTGTTACTCAACAGTACAGAGTCATCCCAAACTGTGAAAAATGTCAAGGCGATACAAAAAAGTGCAAGTGTCTTTTGAGTAGGTGGGATTTGTAATCTACTTCCAGAAATGAGTTCCTGTGGTTGAGTAACTGGTGTGAGCTTACGGAGGAAGGAAGGCCGTTCGTCAGGGTTAGAGGTCCAGCCGCAGGTCATTAAACTGATAAGGGTCCCTCTGCTGGGGATCTCAGCGGGCAGGCTCTCCAGGCTTGTGTCAGGACGCATACCGCGCAATACGCTGAACATAATCTGCATGGGGTTTGTCACCTCTGACCACAGACACACACATACTAGTTTAGTCTGGTAACACCATGAAAACTCCCTCAAACAGCAAGTAAACTAAATGAGAGTGACAAGTCAGACTTGGATATACATTTACAAAAACCAATTTAATAAAAAATGTGTTACCTTCGAATGGTATTTGCCTGGACAGCACCTCCCACATTATGATGGCATAGCTGTAATGTAAACATCAAGAGGAGGGAGAAGGGAAATTAGAGTTGTGTCTTTTCCACTGGTATTCCCCTTGAGAGCTGAGGGACTTTACGACAAGCTACCCAGAGAGGCTGCTTTGATGAACAGTGATGATTCACTGTAACAATTCAGATCCACCGCCCAAAAGCTTAATAGCCCAGAGAGATTCACTCTAACTTGCAAAAGACAGAGGATTTACTGGCTGATTGAGCCTGACATGATCGACAGATTTAGTCTTTGGCATAAATCCCTGCACAGTGTTCTGTTTTGGTATGCCAACAATCCAAACCATTGTTGGCACATTGTCTCATGCTGCCAGGCAGGACAACTTCATTTCCTCGACTGTGTTTGACAATCTTTTACTTAGAGTTTTAAACAGTGAAATAAAGTTATCAAGTTCACCCATTCACAAATTCTACCCAATAATTTGACCACTGACCATTTGAACGTCACGCACATAAAACATCTTGAGATTTAAGTCATACCCAGATTAAAGGGGAATGTACTTAGTGTTCTAATTACAAGTTATTGGGATTTGCTGTCTCACCTGTACATATCATGTTTCACATCGGCACGGCGGCTCTTGGATGGTTCGTACTCCTCAGGGGGCATGTAGATGACTGTGCCGCCCATCTCTGTGGGTTTGGACCCTGAGCCTTTACTAACAGACAGCTGCCGCCACTTTGAAAGGCCAAAGTCTGCAATCTGGACAGAACGACAGCAAAATGTTAGCGCTATTTAAGAATGGACATATTTTAACATAACTTTTCTTCAACTTTTAACTTTAATTGATTAAAAGACAACTGGTTGGGGCTCCAAGAACCTTAGCTATGTGGTGAGAATTGTCCTGTTTATAATAATGGCAGACACTCTGGCACACTTTGTATCTTTAGATATTAAGCTAAAGTGTGGACTTCAATTAATCAAAGAAATGACATTGACTGCAATTAACAATCATTTCATTATGAATTAATTCGATGATTATTTTCTCAATCCTTTAATAATTTTGTCTAAAAATGTAAAAAGAAAATGTCTGAGAACTGACTCAGCTCTAATAAAATCTAAAAAAGAAAATTCTATCCAAAAGCAGTAAGGTTTTACAACAGAACTGTGAAACTCAATACAGAAAATGTATTTTAAAAAACAAAACAGACAGATCGCGTTCCAAGTGGTACATGTCACACATACAGCGAATACCATACCAAATCTCATTGACAGACACACCTTAACATGAAATTCACCATCCAGCAGTATGTTCTGTGTCTTTAGATCATGATGTAAGAGCGGTGGGTTCATGTTGTGAAGGAAGTTGACCCCAAGTGCAATTTCATAAAGAATCCTCAGTCGCAAAGGCCAGGCAAGAACTGGGTACATGTCCTTCTGTAGGAAGAGACAACAGGCCAGATATAAAAATATATATATATAGAGAGAGGATGTGTTATACTGTGTTGAGACTACAGAACAAAGTGATGCAAGAGCAAAAAAGAAGGGAGAAGAAATGTACTACACGAACACAAGAGGGAATTTCCCCAAACTATGTTTGCCTGCTCTCTCCACTTTTCTTTTCCTGCTTGTTTCAAAGTTTCATCAGAGACAGTGAATACCTCCAAGTTCCACTTTTGGAATGGTTTGGTGTGTCACAGAAGAGAAAGCTATGTCATACATGTATCATGTTGAGTGATGACTTAGCTCTTCAGCTATTCTGGCAACTGAAGTGAAAAACAAGAACTGTAGGCGTTTCTCTTGTTCAATATGTGACTGAAATTTAACTGAATTCAAAACAAATAACACTATTTTGCTTCTGATCAGTTACACGTTAGTTCTCCTTTGCTAAGTAAAAGAGGAAGCCAATGTATGTATACCTTATACATAACTACTCTCAGCCTCGTTATGCTACCTGCTGACATATAGCTACCTCGTGGAGCAACAGGTCCAGAGAGCCATTGCTCATGAACTCTGTGACAATGCAGAAGAACTCTGGCTCATTGCAAATGCCAAAGATCTGGATGATGTAGTTGAATCTGGCTTTGTGGAGCACCTCAGCCTCCTTCAGCAGGCAGTTCCTCTCTCTGAAACACAGCCAGCGATACAGAGTCAGTATTAACTCTTAGACAGACTGATAAAAACACCAAAGCATTGATGACATTTGTAGTGTTGTGTACACAGAGGTACAGGTGGTGAAATCATTATAACAGCATTAAGATGGAAACTTTAAGACATTGCTACCCATCATGATATGACAAATGTATGCAAGCAATGACCTGCGTTCCACTGTTAGGTATAACATGAGGTCAAATTGTTTATATACATGAAATAAAACACTTAGTTTTGTTAGTATCTGCAGGTTGTTCTGAATTATGCAATTGGATTATAGACATTTAAAATAATATTAATAAAGCATATCATTACACTATGATCCTGTTGAAATTCAGTAAATGGTAATATTGAGTTATTGCCCATCCCCATCTGTCATGGCATCATTACACAGGGGAATAAAGGGTCATTGTACTCAAAATATTTCTTGAGAATTAGCGCAGATTAGCTTTAAACGTTTAGATCTCAACAAGTTTCCGTTGAACCACAACTGCAGGAGGGCAGACTGCCTCTGTCATCTAGAAACAAACCATGCACCTGGTTCAAAGAGAAAGCTACGACACACCCATTGTAGCCAAACCAACAGATCACAGAGTCAATATATCAGCTAATATTTATTTATTAATGAAGTACTAGTATTAGCATATATATCAACCAGTAGGTAAAATGAAATAATAGTACAGAAACAGCTACACACATTTGAGGTAATGTAGAAAGAGTGTCTCCATTACATAGTGTAAAGGTGTATGTATATGTATGGCTTGTTTTTTTTTTAATCATTTTTTGCAGCTCAGGTTTAAAAATGCGGCTCTGAGCAAGTTTTTCGTCCACCTGAGCTGCGGGAATGCAGACAGATTAAATCGTCTAGAGTCAAGCCCTGCAGCAGCTTCACAGACAGAGCAGTGAAACAACTCCTGCGACACATTTGATTCAAATGTACCTGCAAGCCTGACATTTAATTAAAATTAACACCAGTTCAAGTCTTGATGCTCTCATTTGCATCTTACAGTCTTCTGTGACTGTACAGTGGGTGCTCACTTTTCTGTGTAATTTTTACCGAAAAAGCACAATTTAAGTTTCTGTTTGAGAGCATTTCATCCTTAAATTTAAGAGTTAAATTTCCTTCCTGACAGTGTGCATGGCCTAAATTGTTATATGAGATGGTGACGGTACCTTTCCCCGAAAGGCGAGTCGAACTTCAGGCACTTGATGGCCACAGTGGTCCTCCAGTCGGAGTGCTGCGCCTTAAACACGGTGCCAAAGCCGCCTCTGCTCAGGTAGTACAGGTCTGTGAGCTTCTGGTAGGGGATCACCGGTAAGGTGCTGGTCAGACTGCCCATGTTCACACAGCCCATAGCCGCGCACGGTTCCATGGCAGTTTGTGAGCCTTTTACGAGAAGTCTCTGAGGATTTATCATCCACTAGGTCAGCTACTGAAAGCAGAACTGCCTCTTTAGGTGTACGCAATGAGGAAGAGCTCTCCCATTAACACGCATGCCATAATGTCGCGGAACGCTAGCAGGCTAAGCTAACGTTAATGTGGCGGAGGTGGAGGACGGCTGAGAGTGAGCCAACGATTAGCGGTTCACACGTTTCCTGACCAAAACTGCCGTACACCCAACGACAAGAATTAAATGTATGAGCTTTCACGCTCCTGTTTACTCATGATACGCTACAGCGGCTTCCTGTGACCAGCTGACAGAGTCTTTGCGAAAGAGCGAAAACAACAGAGCGCCACTGTGCCCCGCTGTCATTTAAGGCAGGTGGGTTTGTTGTTGCTAATGACGACACGCTTCCGGGTTTTCGCTAGATGCGTTCACGATCCTAGGTTTTATTTTTAACAGATTCAGATAGTTGACCTGAATTTATTTATTTTTTTTTTGTGCGGCTGGTTCTAAACATCCCTCTGAGCACAAAGAGATTCTGAATTCAGAGACGAATTATAGAGAGAAACTAAGATAAGTTAATAATAAAAAATATGATGAGGGGGAGCTTATGAGTTGTTCACATAATCTTTTGGATGAGGCTTCAAATGAATAGTTAGTTTCACTTTGGCTGGAACAGTCACACCTCCTTGGAGCCTGAACGCAACTGTTAATGTCGGGATTTTAACCATAGATTCATACCGGAATACCCCAGACGTGGGGTTTTCCCACCGACACGTTGTTGAGTTAAACGATACATTTCAGTATAAAAAAAAGTAAGTATACTTCATTAGGTCATAAATACGTGAACTCATAAGACTCATATCTGCACTAGCTACTTTTAGTTATGGTAATAAATTGTATGTTTAATCCAATTCATAGTTTAGCAGAATTTTATAAAACCATACAGACAAAACAAAAACAACGTAGAACGTAAATTCCAAGAGATAGAAAGAGATAGATAGATAGATAGATAGATAGATAGATAGATAGAAAGAAATTTAATGGCAAAAACTATAAATCCTTATTTAAAACTTGGGATAATATGGTTACATAGTAGAATATATTTTATGATATTATATTAAATATATGTCACAAAGGATAGTCCATAGCCTATAGTTTGTATAATGACCTTACTGTGTTATCAATTCATTGTTATCTTATGTATCACTATTTACAATTAAATTATATTAAAAAATCCTATGATATTTCTACCAGTTTAAGACTTTTTGTATTTTTTGTTTTAGTTTCAGTTTTGTATTTTTACTTATGTATTTGTTGGTGTGGTATATGGCTATTTAATATATTTCACAATCACACAATACAATCAGTCACAATATTATTACTTGACAATAATGTGTGTTCACACGGTTTGTGTTTCATCGATATGTTTGGTCAGTTTGTTTGTTGTTCATCTAAACAGAAAGAACTTTTCCTGCCTGAGGGGCCAGGCCTCACTGTGAAGCACATGACTGTGTTACGTTGTCGTCTTGTAATCTAAAACCCTCTGTGAAGTAGAGGGTGTCAACAAATTAATCACCAGATTATTGCTGCTACTGACCTTGATCTCACAAAACCTGCCTTGTTGTGTTTTTTTGATAACCCAGCAAGACCATCAGCGAGAATTCCCCGCATATCTCAGGCAAGAAACACAACGCGGAAGACACTTTTCAGGTCTGTCAGGGATAATTCTCACTGAGTTGGTATAAACGAGCTACTACACTCTGTCTTTCTCTGTTCATAGTAATAATTCTGAATGAATGAAATGAAACAAAATGGTTGTTCAGTCAGATAACAAGGTCATGAATGGGGTCTGAAGCTCTGACACACACACACACACACACACACACACACACACACACACACTGCTGAAAGGAATGAAACATTTTCATTCAAGAAAAACATCTCAGCCCATTTTCGAGGGGCGCTGTGTTCACGGCTCAGAGAAATTACCTTGAGAGTGACGAGAACAGAACATGAAGTTCCCAGTGTCCCTCTCATTCAGGTGCAGTGGCTCTACTTTTGGAAAGTGCTATACAGTGCCACCCTCTGGTCATTGTCTTCACCTCAAAATCTCTTCAAAGACATCTCTGTGCAGTGAAATCAAAATTAACCAGCGTTAATTTTGATTTTCATTGAAGTTGTGCCTGCAGCCAACCAACACCTGATCGTTAATATTGGCTGTGCATGGGGAGTTTCGTCACGTCACTGCAGGATTCAGAATAAATTTCATTATTTATATTTGTGAGAAGGAGCCGTTTCTTCCCGCATGAAAGAAAGATAATACATAGGTGAAAATACAAAATGTTTAATATTAATATGAGGTATTTATATGGTTGATAATAAAATAAGTGAATAAATGAAGTGTCAAACTGAATTGCCTTATGTGTCCTAAAATACATTTTTTTAAAAATGAAGGAGGTGAATCAGTGGTGCATCAAACTCTCATCCTGAGACAACAAGGTATAGCAAATATAAGAATCTCACAGTAGAACAGGAAAATCAGACTTTCTGGTGACGCTGAAAAAAGAATAAAACTCTGTCTTTCCCATGATTTAATTTCCCCTGAATTAACCTTTAACGTTTTCTTAGATTTTATTGCTATTAAAGCGTAATATCAGCTGCCAGTTACATTTTCAAACTGAAAAATTGGGGATGAAACATCGTGTTCTTGTCGCAGCAGCACAAACTGAACGTGGCAGGACTAGAGAATTGTTTACCTTGTTTCTGGGTTTGATTCTTGTTCAGCCTGAGTTATTAAGTATCCTCTGTTTTCTGACCTGTGATGTGTTAACAGCAAAGATGTGAAATTAGATGCAGTGGTTTTAACATCCTAACCCTAACCCGAAAATCCAGAAACCAACCAGCGAAACAAAGTCACAAACCATCAGGGCAAACACAAGGAGGAGGCTGGAGAGCAACAGGACACGCAAGGAGATACAAAGACAAACTGACAGTGAACAAAGGGGAGCAGGGCAATATACCAGGTGAGGATGGACAAGGGGATGGGGATCACATGCTGCCAAAGTATGCAAAGACCTCTGCATCCTCTAAGGTTTCAGAATTAATGTTGAGAAGTTCATCCACTGATGCACATGATTTTGGTCGAGGAGGTGAGCTTGTTGAGCCCACTTTGCAAGGTCAGATTATCCCTGTTACAGGCCCAGGGGGTAAACTGAGCTGTTGACCCCCTTGGTCCTCCCACACATTGCGTCATGTGAATGTATCCTATTGCCTTTGATTGTCTATCATGTAGGGTGCACACCGTGGACAATATATGGAGGAGTCATTATATTTTGCCCTGAGCACTCAGAGAGGAACATGTATTGCTTTTCTGGAATAATATCCTGCACCTGCTGAGTCCATGTAAGAATGAGATCTGCTGAAATAATAAAGATAGTGAAATTAGATTTCGAAACGCAGGGCCTTGGGATGATAAAAATGTTTCAGAGTGAGTAATGAGAAAGGAAAATGTTTTTAGAGACCAGATGGAAATATACCACAGGGAGGACACTGCAAGTCATTCTCGTTTGTCCAGAGAAAAAGCTGAGCCTGCTTTGATGCTCCTGTCAACAGTGAGAATAATACTGTAAATAATATTGTTTACTGTCATTTTCCAAATCATTTTTTTCTTTTTGTATTGTTAAATTCTTCGCTGAATTTCTACCAGTTAATCGTCCTTGATATGGTTCAATTCTTTCAGAGAGCAAATATTTTATGCTTGTGTGAACAAAGCTGAGCAGTAAACTGACTAATTTTAAGAAGTCTTAATTTACCCAGAATTAATTGCAAATTATTCCTGTACCTCAAATAGGCAAGAAGCAGACATCTTTGTGTCAGATATCCCTGAACTTTCTGCCTGTTTCAAGATCCACCTGCTCACCTGTTTTTAATTTCCAATCACTGGAACTTTGCCCCTCAGCCAACACACCTGTTCCTCATTTCCCTCATCTGCTCTCACTATAACAGCCCTTTTTTCCCCCTGTCCGTCGCCAGATTGTTTGCTATTGTTTCTGTGTTTCCCTTTATGCTGTTCATGTTGTGGACTCCCATTCCTGCTACCTGTATGTAGTTACATGTTGTCTGTAGCTGCCTACCTGTCCAACCGTCTGTAAGTCTGGTCCGCATCACTTATTCTGCTGAAGTTCCTGCCTGCATGTCCGTGCTAGGGTTCTTCCCTGCCTGTGCGCTAACCACCAGCCGTGACATATCATTAGATGATCTCTTAGGCATTTGTCTTTGCTCTGGAAGTGCAGCAGATTGTGTACAAGAGCTTTTTCTTCTCAAATAATAAAAACAATATTCACCAACAAGAGCAATTTTATGTCTTATGTTTGTCAGCTTACAGAACATGAACCAGTCATAACTTTCTGCCAACATCTGTATAAAATCGTCTTATTTTCCCAGTAAATGTCAAGTACTGTAAAATACCCATATGACATGTCTGGCTCGGTACTTTGGTAATAGAGGAGAGGCAGGGTATTGTCAGTAAATAAAAACTTGTTCCAGAGTTAAATCAGTGGAGCTGTACAAGTCTATTCTGATTCTCCTGATTTTATATCACCAATACTGCCTCATATTAAATCAGTAATGGGTTTCTTGCATTTGTTTTACTTCCTCTGAGATTTGAGGGATGTTAATGCAAGGAAATAGAATATGAGTCTCTGAATTAACAAAAGTGGCACAGAGCTATACAGATTTTCTGAAAATCTCCTGAATACTCTGAAAATTTGTAGGATGCATTCTGGTATGTCCATTAGATCTGACTAGACAGGTAATACTGAAGCTCTCTCTGTCTGAGACTGTTCTATGCACATGCCAAGCCAAAAGTCACCATGCTGCTTTAATAGCAATCAGTTGGCTGTCAGATGAATTCTACTCAACACCTGGAGTAATGTTTTGTGAATCACCGTAAATCTTACATCCAGCAGCATGATCTTATATAACTATACTAGGGTATTTATTCAGTTTAGACCGTAAAACTACTCAAAGTGAGATAAGACTGGTATGTACTGGAGTCACATTATCTACAGCTAACCGGGTCTCTAAATGTCTACTAAGAGGAGATCTTCCATGAAATGAAAAACTGATTCTTGCATTAAAGTGAGTTATTATATCTTCACAACTTTCAAAGCACTGCATGAAATCACCAGCTGTGAGACTCAGCAGGGAGATCAGAAGAATTTAAATCAACTATGGCATCAATATTATTCAGATTGTAAACATGGATCTGATTTCTTAATTTAAGACAAAGAGGGTCTTAAACTATTGAAGAAATTTCATTTAGGTCTTCAAAAACACACTAACTCTGTTCTAAACTGTATTATATATGAAGATGATGAAAATCCATCCTTGCTATTTATTCCTATATTTTTATCTCCTGTCAGAAAGTTTCCAGTAAGAAAAAACTGTTTGCTCCCAAATATTTTATCCTGCCTGTCACCTGTTGTAGTTTTTGTTGACAGTTTTGGACATAAAATAGCTTTCATATTAAATAATATGTATATATTAACTTGAATACGATCTGCCTTGTCATCAGCATCAGAGAAAAATAATAAAGAAGCGAATTTACAAGGAAAATATGTTACAGGCCTGAGAAAATTTCAACAGTGTGTTGGACAGTTCATCTGTGAGCTGTTAAACAATCATTTGAAAAACTCACTGTTCATTAAAAAAGCTACAAAATGACGCATGTAGTGACTCTACTATAGACTATTGTACTTGGGTTAAGGGTTAGGTTGGGGGTTAGAAGCTGCTCCAAAGCTGCATCAGACAGTCCTGGTTTTGATAGTTTATCCAGATCCACAAGCTCCACAAGAAACTCACAGCTCAGTCCAGCCTGACAGTTCAATGGAGACATTTGACCTGTTTTTGCAGCAAGACAAAATGGCTATTCAGTAAGATTGGCCATTTTTCATGGCAGACATTTTGACCTGTCACAGTAGGAAAACACACAACATTAGCACTGGATCTATTCTTAATGATGGCTTCAGATACATTTAACCATGGTTATGTGCTGTCTTTATTCTTTACCATGACGTAACTACTTAAAAAACAAAACAGAAATCGATCAAGGTGTCTGCCATCACTATGTTCTGTCACAAAGTAGCCTAATTTACCACCCGCCAGTGTGATTTGTTGTCTGTTGCCAAGGAGACCATCGTTCACGAAGCACAAGCATCACCTCCTGCTGCGTCTCGAGCCCGTCATGTGGGGGCGGCGCGTTTCGGTCTTTGTAGTTCGTCAGCCACCCTGTGTTGGAAGCAGTGGCGCCTCCTTACAGCCAGAAGGAAACTTGAAGCAACTGAAGTGAAGACTTACAGGAGCTGAACTACGTGAGTCATGGATTCATGGATTTTTTTTTTTTCTTTACCATTGCACCTGATAGTCCTGGATTTATTTTAATGAATGTGAGACTGATGTTTTTTTCTTTTCTTCTTCTGCTTTTCAACCGTGTCATCAACAGATCTCATCATTATGAGAAAGATCACTGGCAAACACTTACTGTGCTTCTTCCTGCTCGTCTTCCCGCTGTCCTGGGCAGAGGACACAAAGAAAGATGTGAGGAAGACTGACAATGATACAGGTGAGGTTTCTCTCTCTCTCTCTCTCTCTCTCTCTCTCTAACCCATTCAAGCTGATTTCATTTTGAAGTGAGCCTCTAAAAAGGCTACATCGTGAGCGAAATGGTGCAGCTTATAACAGATTGACTGGATAAGAAATGATATGTAGCCTAGTTATTACAGACTGATGTGGATTCTGCGTGTCTCATATTGCCCTTATACAATGTACGTAGTCTTTAATTTACCAGAGTATCCATGGGCTTGTTGCACAAAGTAGTAAATGCAATTAACGCAGGAGAGACAGAGGTGGCTCATACCTGCTCATTTTTCAGTTTGTATTTAAGAGGATTATTATGAAAATCAAAATTAATAATATAGGCCTATATATTGGAATATGATTATGAATCTGTCCAACATTCCCCAAACATTTATGAATCCGATTAATCTTGTCAAACTCAATTTATCAACACTTAAGGCTGGGAATACTGTATGTTTATGGTTCCCATCTTTTATTGCAGGTTGTATAAATATCTGTAGGGGTTTGATCACAGCAGGAGTCAGCAGAACCTTACTATGATAAAGATCATTTAAATTTTTTAAAACATTTGCAAAATCCAATGTCTTCTGTTTGAAACATTGTCACCGTACATATGATCATATTAAACCAATGCTCTTATATCTGGTATGATTTTCTTTCCTTTTTCTTTGAAGCAAATGTTTTGAAGCAAATCTTATGACAGCTGAAACGTCACCCGGAGGTCTGTTTGTGAGGCAAATTATGTTTCATACCATTTCAAAAGTTGACCTTGATGAAAGAATTGACAATTGAAGTGTGCTGTGTGTCACACTTAAAGGCCCAATCCATCATTAATGACCATAGAAATTACAAGTGTACGTGTACGTTTGTCTTAATAATAGAAAAACACATTTTATTGTATAGTAAGCCTGTTTAACTGCTGAAATCCTGGTTATTGTAAACAAACCTTTAACAGTCAGAAACTTCAACAACTTAGATTTTGTGATTGTGGATCTAAAGACCTGTCAATCATTTGTTTTTGTTCCGAGCATTTTCTCAATTTTTACATATCTTCTTAAATTCAACTTTTAAACTCAGTTGTAAAGAGATTATTTGGCCCTAAAACTGAAAAGTTCAAGTCCAATTTTTAAAATTCATCAAATCTCTTGTGAAAATATGTTTACTCATGTGGATTTAATATTTTAGTGCTTGAAAATGGGTTTACCAAAGTGGTAGGTTCACAAAGGTAGTGGAATATATGAATAAAATAGTAGATAGACCTATAATAAATGTCTAAAATGAAATTCTATAAATACACACACACATATATATGTATAACAGAAACATTATTTACAGTATTTCCATATTTCCATGTGTGGCTGCTTGAGAGCTGCTGCATGTGGTTCACTCGGCCCGGGAAGCTGTGAAACATCTCTGTAAAAAAATTTAAATAGAAATTAAGTTAATTGAAAGAAAGTTCTCATTGCCTTTCTCCTCTCTTCCCCCAGATGCCCCTCACACGTACGTCTAAGAGGAATGTGGGGGGTGGGGATACGCTGTCTTCCATTTCACAACTCACTACACACTAACAGAGATTACCAGTAATTTTGCGTCAGTATAAAATGTCTTTCATTAATAATGATGTAAAACAAAGTTCTTCACTATTGATACACAAATTAATTTAGCTAGTTGTGTACAGAAGCAACATATAGGCAATATGGTCACATTTACAGACAAAGTGCACTATTACTGTGATATTGCAAAACAAAGTTTTTGTAAAATATATATACTTATACTATACTATACTATACATTTTTAAATGGATCCCTATTATTGTCGTATTCCTCTTCATCAAAGGAATCCATCTACAGAGAGTTTACACAGTATTTGTAACTTCTCACTAATCTTTGTTGAACTTTCTAATGTTCAAGTAATGTTCAACATATTCAGCCAACAAATAGTAAAGTCTTCAATGGTTAGTGTTAGGTTCATCTGAATTGTTGAATCTCAACTAATAACCTTTTGAAATGTTTTCAAATACTGTGTAAACTCTCTGTAGGCAGACATTCAAATAAAGTGTTACCACATTTATTTTAAGGTCTGTTTCTGGCCACTCGAATGAATGTAAGTCCCATATTCACTCTTGCTGTAGTTCTGTCTCTTGTTTCCACCAACAACTGGCTCTTTAGCTGTTCAATGCTCCACTGAGTTCTCCAGCTACAAACTAACGTTGTATTTCTGATGTTTGGTGCTTGACAGGTAGCATTCAGTGAGTTTATCAGATTTTTTTGCCTCCTAACAGACAGGGTTGTTGCATTATGTTTTCAGGTTGTTCATCTGTCTGTCTGTCCATCTGTCCGTCCCATTCTCGTCAATGGGTTATCTCAGTAACGTCTTGGGGGAATTTGTTCAAATTTGACACAGATGTTCACTTGGACTCAAAGATGAACTTATTAGATTTCAGTGGTCAAAGGTCGAGGTCACTGTGACCTCACAAAACATGTTTTTAGCCATAACTCACAAATTCATACACTAATAATGGCACAATTTAACTCAAATGTCTATAAGAATAAAATTAAGTGATGAGATTTCATATCCAAATGGTTAAAAGGTCATTGTGACATAATAATGTTCTGCAAAAACTCTTCTGGCCATTATTCAACACACTAACTCAGGAAGGGGAGATTGTAACCATATTTCCTGCAAATTGGCTGGTTGGCGGAGGCATACAACCACGAGGCTCTAGTTCTAGTTTTTTTGTTTCGCTATAATAAGCAGTGACCCAAAACAGTATTGTTGTGTCCATAAAATAAAAACAATAAGCTGTTGAAAAATCTCTGCATACGGTACTGCATACGGTAGTGTGGTGGATTTGTCACTACAAACTACACTCCTTTCACTTTACATATCCATTGATAGGATGAAAATATTAATTCGAGCAGCTTTAAGTTGCCGTAGTGATGTATAAGTGCACTGAGGATGTCAGTACACTATGACATCACTGCTGGGTGTGGTTACAAGTGTAATAGAGCACACTTCTGACCAAAACCAACAGTAATGCCCGGTCACCCATAATAGATCACTAAAACAAGACTATGAGGTGTTATTAAGCAAGTTTGAATCTCAGACTGTGTGATTCAGCTCTTACTTTAGTACACAAAACACAATTCAGGTTGACAGAAAACCAATCCATCTATTAATGTCAATTCAGAAGATGCAGTGAGGGAAGCTTTTAAGGTGTAAACACAGGGAGGACATGAGGGAAAAAGCACAAGTGTTTCATTATAATTTGTTGAGAAGACAGATGGTGGTTCCACAGAAAATGTTGCATTTCAAGTAGAAAAGTAAAGATATCTTAAAGTGGAAGATCAAAGTGTGGATGAAGGACTCAGCATCAGCAGGAGAAGAGGCATCAAACATCCCCAGGTTGAGTGAAGGTATTTTCTGCACTGTAACAGATAAATTGTACACATCTGGCCAAAGATTAGCCCCAAGATCTTGAGCTGGATTGGAAGAGTAGGTGTAACAACCATCGATCACGAGGCAGAAGGAAAATGATCAGAGCCAAGGAGGAGGATTTTTGATTTGTTGCCTCTGTGGACGCGTGCAGTATCTAGGTTGTAAAAGACACATTGAGGTATAAGGGTGAGGATCTTAAAGATGCCAATGTCAGAGGTGAGTGTTTGACTTTGATGAACTATGTTTTGGGGATGATCCAAAGAACATCTAGGCCAAAGATGTGGAGGCAAATCATTTTGGTTTCCATTGGAACACTGACAATCATAGCTACTATTTCTGTCTAAAAAAATATCACACTGCCAACAGCCTTGGACATTGGTCAGCTCCATTGCTTATGAGAGCATACCAACACGTTTCAAAGCAAACATCATAATAAATCATGACCACCTGTACACATTTGGCATGGTTAATTAATTTAGTTAAAATTTATTGTACTCGGTTTTTAGTCGCATTTTGGTTTAGGTAACAAAACTACTTGGTTAGGTTTCGGAAAAGATCATTGTTTGAGATAAAACAGACCCTTTGACAACGTTAACCATGCATTAGAAAGGCTTTGCCAGAACTTCTGCCACATGGTCAAGGAGAACCTAGAACCTAGGTGTAAGTAGCTGCATTGAATATCCACCCCAGGTGTGAATAGCATTGTTGGCTACAGACTCCTGGGTGCTTATTTCTGTTGTGCTATATACACCCAGGTGTCTGTAGCCAGACTGAATATCCACCCCGGATGCAAATAGCATCGTTGGCTACGGACACCTGAGTGTGTTCCACATACTGTTCTTGGTGCTGTTTGACACTGTTGGATGTACAAAACAAAACAAATTTAGCATGATCATTTTCAATCTTCAGTTCAAGCTAGAGATCCATGAAATGCTTCTACTTCACTACAGTGAAGGAAAATAAATCAATGAGTCAACTGTTCATCGTAAAACTTATTTAAAAAGACAAATACCATGACTATTTGATTAACTTACTATCATGTTCGTTAGAGGAAGGAGTAGCACAATTAAAATCACATGACCTAAGAAGGGAAATTCAGTTACATTCATTTGTGAATTTGTCTGATGGAAGTTCTACTTTTTGGTCACGTGATGTCAACTGACCAAATTCTGTCCGCTAAGGAAGACTGTGAGATGTGAGCAAAAGTTCTGGAAAAAGCTATTAAGTTGGCTTTCAGTCATTTTTTCTCTCAAAGTCAAGAATGAACTTCATCAATTATCATAGTATTACCAGTTGATTATCAATTAAAGTCCAATAAATCTACATCTGAGTAGTTGGAAAAAGCACATTTTTGTTAGTTTCACAACAACACAAAAGGAAATGCAGAACTTTTAAGTACGCAGTCATAAGATAAGAACAGAACGACACCACAAACATCACATACACAAACAATAGAAAAAAATAATAGCGCTAAGCTAAGAGTATACAGCCATGCTAGCCACTCTGTGAGGCTAGCTACTCATTCTCAATAGTGCATTGAGCCAAATGCTAACATAAGCATGCTAACCTGCTCCCAATGACAATGCTAACATGCTAATGTTTATCATGTTCATTATTTTAGTTTAGCTTGCTAAAATTTGCTAATTAGCACCGAACACAAAGTACAGTTCAGGATGATGGGTAAATCATTAGTTTTAGTTAGTCATAAGTATTGAACAAATTAGAATTTAATACAATTTCAGACCATCTTTCAGTACAGAATGACCCCATAGGTCATTTGTGTGAGCAGCTTATTACGACCCATAATTACGTTTATTGTTAGGTGACATAACAATCGTGGGAGATGAAAGTCTTTTCAGCAAATACCCCAAAACATGGTGGAGCAAGACAACAAGTCAGAGGATCACCAAGGACAGCAGCATTCATCCTCTGGAGACGTCGAATGTAATGGCAATCGTAGTTGCAGAATTATTTCAGTCCAAAAGTGGAAGACCAATCAACCAACAGACTGACATTGTCATCGACAGAGTGATATGCCATGAATATCGCTTAAAAAAAAATGTATGTCAGTAGAAAGTTGTGTTAAAAGAATTTTACAGTCCTACAAAACATCATCCCAAACTGAAACAGCAGAGCTATCAAGTGGAAATTTAAACCTTTTAACATAGTGAAAAACCTATTAGACAAGCCCTTTAATGTGAGCCCAATTCCTCCTAAAGAAAACAAAGACTGTCTGTTATCCAGAAAAGATGAGAGGAAGGAGATGTAGGCTTCCAGTTGTCAGGCCAAAAGGGTGACAAATGATGCAGAAAGGGAGGATGAAGGGACCCCAAAGAAAACAGTAAACACATTTAGTGCAACTGTTTCTCTAGTAATATTTGATTAAGTGAAAACTCTTTCCAGTAGTTGCATAAGGATGGAGATAACCAAAACATTTGGAAACATTTCTTTCCTGGAAACCATGAAAGCAGAGACTCTTAAGTTCCTTCTGAGAGGAGGCCCTACAAACCCACCTGACGACGAGTAATTGTTCTCTCTGAATAAGGCCTCTGCATGGAGGGGCACCTAAATTGTCAAGTATTTAGGGCTGCATTTTCTTGCCTTGTTTGTAGGAAAATGTGCATCTACTGCACCTCTACCAAAATCAAGTTTCTGCTAATGTGTATGGGATAGTTTTCCACCAGCAATTAGCTGGCAATCCACTGTCTGACTGGAAGATGTCCCCGGGCAGACTGAGAACACCCATCTGTGATTAAGTCTTATAACATTTATTGTGCGTTTACTTCTCTTCTGAGAACCTGTTCACAATCTAGTGTTGACCTGATAGAACAAAGAGGGGAAAATAAAGCAGAAGTTGCATTGTTGTTTCCCCATCATGTGAAATAAGAATATAGGTCTCTAGAGACTGTAGTTAGGGTTTTTATTCCTGGCCAGAGAAACTGGATTGACCTGCACTGAAAAAAGCACAGAGATCATTGTAATAAGAAGGAACATGTTTATTAAGAAAAAACAATGATTCTTCTATTATTTCCAACTCTAGTTTGGAGCCAAGCAAAGACCAGACCGCTATTTGCACGGCGAAAGATTTCTCCATCACAGGAAAGTCACATTCCTGTAAGTTTTCTTTGTTCTTCTTAAACTGCCTTTGTACAACATATAAGGCCGCTGTATTTTCATTCATGTTTCAGTAAGTTGTGATTCTGAAGCCTTGAAATGAAAGGTGTGAGAAAAGGGCTATGTTTGAAGTCCCCAACAGATCTGACACCTGTATTTGCAGTCTTCACTCTGTTTAATCTCAGTTTTTGTCTCTACCAACTCTTAAGGGCAATATCTGGCTCTTTAGCAGCTAAATGCTTCACTATGCTCACCAGCTAGGCGGTGAGTAAACCAAAACATTGAAGTTGTAGGATGTAAAACCAAAACAATGAGCTGAAACACACTAAAACTCTCCATAGAGCTTAGGGGAACTGAAAAGTTGGGAGAATTGTTTGTGGGCTCTTCTCTATGAGCAACCCCTTCCACATTACACATTATAATTTGACCCATTGAGTATTTAAAAATTGAGATTAGAGCAGCTTTAAAGTTTAGCTCTTTGTGTTTAAACGGTGCTTTTCTGCAGCAACGAGTCACAGGGTCAACAGAGGTTTTACTTCCTTTTCCATTTTGTTGTGAGAAATTTCCTGTAACTACTGTGTTTGTTGGTGTTGTTTCAGAAACACAAGACAGACCTTATGACCCCTTCACGTCGCTGCGGCCGCCTGATGGAGAACTGCTCCTCTCGCGTGCCGTGCTGCGACCCCTGCGCCTCCTGCCGCTGTCGACTCTTCAACACCATTTGTCATTGCTGGAGGATGAACCACCTGTGCTTAAAGAAGACATAAGTGGAGCGCACACACACACACACACACACACACACACACACACACACACATACATACAAGCACACACACACGCATGCACGCACACACACACACACACACACACACACACACACACACACACACACACACACAGACACACTCTGGCACCTGGATAAATACAGTGATAAGCATATACACACACAGCAGTATTCACATATGCTGGTCTCTGGCCTTTTACAGCGTAGGTGTAGTTGAGAGAATATTGTCTCAGTTCAGTGTGAAATAGAAGTATTTGGAAAACCATGAACCAGTCTGGGGTGAAAAGTGAAATTTCTTTCCATTGTCAATGGTTTCCACACTTCTGTGAAGGAAGGACAGATGTGAATGAGAGAATGAAGCCATGTGATGACAGTCAGTGCTTTTCTGTCCTCAGTCATCCGAGACATGAATGTGAAAAAGAAAGTACCCACAGAAATGTTCCCAGAATATCCAAATACCCAACATAAAGTATGTCAGTATAACAAAAGGATGAGTGACATCTGCTTTTCATGTATGTATACAATGACATGTTAACTGTGTGTTGTTCCTCCGGTATTTCCCGCACTATTGCTGCTTTTGAATATCTTTCGTTTCTGCTTCTCCTGTCATGTTAAACGTGTTTGGACGCCAATAAATGGATTTACATTGGAACATTAACGGTTAAAAAAACCAAAAAAAACCAAACAGATTTCTGTTCCTTTGTAAACCATGCCTTGGAGAAGAGATGATCTGGGATTCCAAATGAGGAATTACCAATTATTCATGTGTGGATTTATGAGTAAAGTTAGTTTATATTTTTGCTATAGAATAAATACACTGTAAGCCTATATCATGCTTGATTTGTTCTTTTCCTTACATGTTTGTTTTTAAGTGGAAATATCCTAAATCCGTTTGCAGTCTAAGCTGTACTCGCCTTGTCCTAAGGGTTGAAAATCACCCGCCTTCACTAAACCCCTCAAATAAAGCAGCTTAATTGAATTTTAAACCCCCATGAAGAAATAACCTGTCATTCATGATAAACTTTGAATAGTTGCAGAGAGACTGCATTTAACCAGTGTAGAGCTTTGTTGTTATTGCTAAAGGTCCTGCATGGGTGTAAACATTCATTTTTTTGTAAGAGGTACGTAGCAGAAAAGTAGTTTTGAATGTATTTCATTGAAGGAAACAGTGGCAACAGTGATATATATTATACTCCGTACAATGAGGAATTCAACTGTAAAATACTTTCCCCATTTTCGAACCATAAAAAAACAACAATAAATAAAGATTAAAATAAGATACAAAATACATACAAAAAACGTGAAGGACATCAATCAGGTGTGTGTGTTTTTTTTTTTTTTTTGTTTTTTTTTTACAGTATTTTGGGGAGCAGAATTGGTATCTCCTATGCAATGCTATGGAAGACGACCACAGGCCAGTGGACAGTCGTCCCCCTGCAGCTGTAGGCTGTCCACGCCTCCCCTGTTGTGGTTGTAGTCTACAAAAAGGTGCCGGCCAGGGAGGTATTCCTCTAAAAAGAGGTTCAGAGGTGAAGAAATTGTCACACATGATAGTGTGCCCTTTAGTCCATCTGTCACACCAAGCACAAACCACATCCCCTGGTTTTTCTCCGTCACAGACCACCCATATCTTGATGTTCTACCGACCAGTTTCCAACCTCTTACACCTCTTGCATGTCTTTACTCACGATTATCAAATCATAGCATACTTGAAAAAGTGAGACACACCCTTTTTTTTCTAAAATGGGAGTTAATTTAATCTATTTTTAATTTCCCTTTATAGCATTTATTTTGGTTTTTCATTAAGTGTACAAACCGCACAGCTACTGAGACAGAAGCACACTGTATTACAAAAATAAATTGACAATAAAATAAGACACAGCTTTAACCACAATAGAGAGACCATGCCAGCAATCACTCAATCATGTGAGATGGGAGATTTTCCATGTAGTTGATAAAAGGCTGCTATATTTTAAAAGATTTATCTTAGTCCTCAGTGAGCAAGTTATCTTTTCCAGAGGTATGCAATTGTTCACTTCTAAGAGCCACAAATATTTTGAACGGTTGCCCAAAAGGCATCGGGATCCTGGGAAAGTAACTCCATGAATTCTGGATAAAGCATCACAGATCCCTGCCAAAACCTTGTAGTTTGCTAGAAACAGCACAAGCAAAGAGAAAACCCAAATACAGACTCGAAGACAGAGCTTAAACAGTTCAGAAATGTATTCGCAGAATGAAAAAAACAAGGCTTACGGGAAGGTGAGGCAGACAAGGGGCAGAATCGGAGGCCTCCAAAGGCAGACATCAAAAGTCCAGCAAAACGGAGGGGGGGGGGGGATCTAGGAACAAACTCAAAGCAAACACTAGGTACTGTGAACAAAAACAAAAAACGATGATCCTACGAAGAGCGAGAGAGCGAGGTAGGTTGGTTTAAATAATGATATTGAGGCGACTGGGAACAGGTGTGTGAGTGGGAGGGGAAGCTATAGGTGATTACAAGTGAAAACAGGTGATCGACAGGAAGAACGTTCATGGACGTGTGATGGGAGGATGGAAAGGTAACACGTCTTCAAAAACCTTAGAGATAGTTGAAAGACATTAGAACCGTTGTTTGACCGTCCTGAAAAAGATGTTCGGTGTGTGTGTTTTCACTGTCCTCCAAGGTTAACCCTTATAAAATTTCTTAAATGTAAGTATTTAAAAAAAGGTAGTTGATATTTCTGTTTTAGTTGTTGGAAGGACATAAAAATGTCATCCATATAACAATGCTCCAAGCGAGTGATTCCTGAAACTGTGGAGTGACTGAAAACCATCTTGCACCCAAACGTTTTATGTATTTTGAAGTCTGGACTGAGTGAACAATGAAAGGGTTAATAGTTCTGATGGACTTTCTCCTTTATATAAAATATCAAACAGTTCTCATTCATCTCTGGCCTTTAGGTTGGGGAGCAAATGAACCAAAAATCTAGCTTGTGCTTCTAAACAATACTATAACATAACAGTAATAACCCATCCGACAATCCTTCTTTTCAATTATCAAGGGTAATTTGGTCTAAAGGAACCCTCAGGGATTTATCTGATCAGTTTGTCCAGAGGAGAAATAAAAAATCATTAATTTAGCCTAATGAAATAAGAGGGAGGCTCATCCACTTATACAAGTCACCCTCCACTCTCTGCAACAAACTCAACAGTTTGATTTTACGTAAATTACATATAATCCTTGTCCACTAATCTCTAGGTATGTAAACCCACTGGGTGACCACCTAAGGGGAAACTCATTAAAGGGATAGTATTTCACTTTTGTCAAGACCAATCTTGTCACCAAAAAAGGAACAGTAAAAATGAAATATATGTAGTATTATGGGAGAGGGAGCTTATGCGGTATGTTAGTTTTTCTAATGTTGGGGTCACTCTAGGAAAAGTCATCAAATTTCAAGTTGAAAAAAGGTTTTCCTCTGCTGGTAAACATAGTGATGGGTCATTTTACCCTGTCTGCAACACACGGGTTAAACATTTAAATGCAGCATTACTAATATGTGGATTTATGGGAGGAAACCCTGCTTCATTTGGGAAATATGAGACACAGGATCAAAACAAAACAAGAAAAGAAGTAGTCATTTCGAAAAGGTTTGCTGGCAGCTATCTAGTGGATAAACAGGGACTAAACCTGCTTTGTATTTCCGGGATGATTTTGTGGAAAGCAGAGAGATAATGAACATTAAGCACATGTGGAGGGGGGCCAAGTGTGTATCCAAAAGAAACATGCATAGACACATGTTGATGTAGCCTGAGTGAATTCCAAGTTTTGCATCTCTTAAATCTTATCCAGACAATCTGCGTTGCAATTGGTGTATTACCTTGTCTGGAACACTGTCTGCTCCTCTTCTAATGGAAGGTGCAGAGAGCCACATCTGATGAGCTGCTACGTTTTGATCGATAATCCATTTCATAAATCATCATCACATGTATGTTTATTTTGCATTGCGCAGTTACAGTATGTCCTCTAAAGCAATGAACATGAAGGAGCTGCGTCAGAGTTCATGGGGCCGAACACATATTGTAGACGATGAGATTTCCATGTGTTTTGAGATTGTAAAGCAGATCTAGGTTCTATATAAAGACTGAAAGTATCAAAGCGCTCAGTCCACGGAGAAATGCAAACAGTCTGTAGCTGTGCCTTAAAATGAGCCCTCAGCCATGCCCACAACAAACACTTACTAACCAGCAAGTGCTGGGTGCGTTGTGTTTGGATGTTTGTCTAAAATACTGGAGCATTTCAGTCTGAATTTGACCACCTGTTTGGCTCATTTTCACCGGTGAGTTTTACCAAGCTACAGTACACTACGAACTGTTACCTGTGGTTTTCATGACCTGGTGTCACTCAGAAAACAGTCAACCAATCAGAAGAGAGGCTCAGTGACCACCAACACCAAACGCCTTCTTCTTGCTAGAGCTCCAGAGAGATAGAAGCGTGAGAGAGATGTAAAAGTAAATCACAAATATATCTTATAAAGTGTAAAATTTTAAACTTCAAAATATGGGAAGTTTAAATGAAAAACATGCATGTGGGGAGGAGGATATGTGGAAAGGTATGATATGGAGGTATGATAGGAACACGACAAATGGCAAACTTGTTATCTGCTTCCTCCACAAACCATCTGATGTGTCTTCTGCCTGATGTGCTGCCTGATTAAACACAGACTCACTGACTGATTGAAAATAAACACTGTGCGCGCTTGAGGATGGAAGCTGATTTGCGTGCGTGATTATTTAGCTTAATTCCCTTTTCTCCTGCATAATGTCCAGCCAAAGAGCATCATGGTCTTTCATTTATATAACAGTCACACAGCGTTTTGAAAAGAGATACGTCTTACTCTGGGTACACTAAATAAATGTAAGCAATTTAACTGTATAGACAGACCGACATATTCAAGAGCAGGAAGTGAGACAGCAAACGCTTTTAGGACAGCTATGGAATTTCTTGGTGTCAAAGAGGAAGGGAAAATAACTGCATGGATGTTAGTCAGTGGGGAATAATGCAGAAGTTGCTTTAAAAATAAACCCCAAAGAGAAACATCTAAACATCACTTAAACAGCAGCCTGGCTTTTTAATAAGTCATTTGGCATCATGGCAGAGCTCAGTTTCAACGTGGATCATGGCTATCTGGAGGGTCTGGTTCGAGGGATGAAGGCTGGAATTCTGTCTCAGATTGACTATAACAATCTGGCCCAGTGTGACACACTCGAAGGTAAGAAAATTGTGCTTCGGATGCATTTGAATTAAACTTCCCCAGGAATGTAATATACAAATACTTTTTAACTATGCCTTTCTTTTTTTTTTTTTTTTATATTCTCGTGCATATGTGTTTGAGTGTCTCAAAAGTTGAGTGCTGACAGGGAGCACCTTATCTACCCAGTTTCTTCATATGGATCTCATTTATCAAGGAGCACATCTGAATTTTCTTTCCAGGCAGGCATTCCTTTCTGAGAGAGACAGAAAGAGCAATGAGATGTTAGTTTTCAATATGTTTAAGATACCTTATACTCCCACACAGCATTCATTTTAATATGTCCACACAGAGACTCACGGTTTTGGGAGGAGTCTTCTGAAAAACATACTCTACATGTGTTTGTGTATATAATTGACTGATTATTGATAACATCAGCTGTAATGTATTTAACAAGTTGAACTAAGGTCAAAAATAGCCATGTGTGTATTACTGTGAATTATGATTCATCTCCTCCTGATTTGTAACTGCAACCTGACAAGAAGCCGCTGTGGAAAAACAGATTTTAGGGCAGAATTACTTGTGATCTGAACACAAGTCGAGCCAAAACAAAAAGGAAGTCCAGCACAAAACCCTGAGGTACTTCCACCTTCCTTTCCTCTCCTCAGACATGAAGCTGCACCTGCAGAGCACAGACTACGGTAAACTGCTGTCCTCGTCTGAAGAGGACCTGACTGTGTCTCTGGTGGACAACAAGCTGAGGGAGAACCTGGTGACTGAATTCAGCTGCCTGCGCTCCAACGCCCTGCCTCCGCTCTCCACCTTCCTCGACTATATAACGTATGCTTTAACACTGCATGTGGTTCATCATGAATAATACCAAGGTCACAGGAGAAAGCAAATAAGCACATTACTTATTTATGTCCTGTGGTTTTCTATCCATACACTATTCTCTGGTTTAGGTAGATCAATTTTGATGATGCTCCTTTTTATACTGTTCTGAATAGCATTATCTTGAGACCGATGAAAAGCACTCAAGGCCATGAAATTGAAAGAAAACAATTCTCACTAAACCAACTGAATATGCTCCCAGTTTCATAATCTCTAAAAATAAAGGTGTATCAGAAAGCAAATGTGTCTCTATTAAGAGGGCTGTATAACAGAAAATGCCACGCAGACAAATAAAGGTACTTCCGTTTACTGTGTTCTCTGTGTTGCCATAGCTACAGCTACATGATCGACAATGTGGTGATGCTGATCACCGGGGCCCTGAAACAGAGAGATGTGGCAGAGCTCCTCCCGCGCTGTCACCCACTGGGAGCTTTCGACCAAATGGCAGCGGTGGGCATCGCTCGCACCCCAACTGAACTCTATTCGGCCATCCTGGTGGACACACCGCTAGGTAGACTCATCAAATGATCAGTTTTATTCCCAAAGGTGATAAAAATATATGAAGTATTGATTTTAGTATTAAATACGCTTTCAGTCACAGAGTCGTTGTGAGTCAGTGGAGATAAAACGATCACCATTTTACAGTGGGAACAGATTGGAGATGTGGAAATATGGAAGCCAATTTATGCTTTGAAAGAATTAAAAATTATTACGATCATAACTTCAATGTCAAAATTCTGACTTCCCATCTGGTCACGTTAGAAGGTGACACGAATTCATCAGTGTGTCTTCACAAAATATGTTCTTGGTGACATTATAGGCCTTGTTCGTAAACTACCGTAAATGGCGAGGTAACTGCTAAACATGCTAGCCAGTTGAGTTAGCACAAGTCAGTATCAAGCTGTCCAAGTTCCTTTGCTTTCTTCTGTCCTGTTCACTCTCCTCCTGGCATCCTGTTCTCTGTTCCCCCGTTTCATTAAGTAAAGAGTCACTGAAATAGGAAAATCGTTCTCTGAGCTAACGAGCATGATAACTCTGTTAGCAACACAGCTAACAGACTGTGCTAGCTTTCTCCGTTTTGGGCCCTGTTCTCCCAATGGTCAGCAGTGAAAAGACCGCTTTGTGTAAATCATGTGAATTTGCAGGTCATAGTTCATTACAAGTGAGCACATTATGAAAATAATGTGCTCAAATTTACTTTGCCCACATGTTCAAATCCACTAACCGTATCTATTCCATTGAAATTACTTGATTTCGCAGTGAAATTTTCTGCAAAGCTGCTTGAACAGCTGGTGTAACCAGGCCTTTAGTTAGTCATAATTTTGAATTACCATTTGTATTTTTATCATCTCTAACTTTTCACCTGTTTTTTTTTCTTTTGTTGTCAGAAATTGGCTTCCATATTGATTAAATTCTACTACTGTAAATAAAAAAGTAGTATATGATACAGGCTACCGATCAAACTGATGACCACTGTGTTGTTTTGTAGCTCAGTTTTTCCAGGATGCTGTATCTGAGTCCAACCTGGATGAAATGGAGGCTGAGATCCTGAGAAACAAATTGTATAAGGTGACTACAGGGTGATTTAAGACCACTGACTACTATAACTAACTGTGTGTGTGTGTGTGTGTGTGTGTGGAGGGTTTTAATACTGTCATGTTTGACAACCCTCAAAGACAAATTTTACAATGTGTACTAAAAGTTTAAGGTTCTGTTTGTGATGGAGGTCAAAGTTCTCACCTGCCAGCAGACACATTATGTCATTCATGATATAAGGTCTGACCTTTAAGTGTTTTTTTTTTAAGGCTTATTTAGAGTGTTTTCACTCTTTCTGCAAGAACATCGGGGGTGCCACAAAGGATATCATGTGTCCTGTCCTGGAGGTACTGTGATAGTTTCCACTGCATGAAGTCATCACGTCATAAAGTTAAAGATTTGTTTTTGCTAAAAATGCTCCATGTGTGTGCTGCAGTTTGAGGCAGACAGGCGGGCCTTCATCATCACAGTGAACTCTTTCGGGACAGATCTCAGTGGTGCAGATAGAAGTGCTCTGTATCCGTCCTGTGGCAAACTTTACCCCGAAGGCCTGCAACTGCTGGCCAGGGCAGAGGACCACGAGCAGGTCAAAGCTGTGGCCGACTGTTATCCAGTGAGTCTCTGCTCATCTCTCAGGATTCCCTAATGAGTGCTCTGTTGTTGTTGCTGCACTTAATTCAAGTCAGACATGTGAGTAACCTTAACCTAAACCTCCCTGCAGGACTATAAAATCATTTTTGATGACCCTGAGCCGGGATCAGATTTTAAGACTCTGGAGGACAGATTCTTTGAACAAGAGGTAATATAAATTTAAAGGAGCTATTTGTAAGTTTTACTCTTGCCACATAGCCAATGTTAGCATTAACATCTGTTAACTTAATACCCTTGCCAAGAGCTTCAGCCATTGTTGCATGTACAATGCAAGAGGTTATAACACGCCCTCTGAGCAGCGCTACTTCTTCACCGAAGACACTACATCGGAGAGGGACTGTGATGAAAATCTTGTGAGACACCCAGTGTGTTAAGCATAAGTATTTATTGCAGGTTGATGCACACCAAGGCTAACAAACATTATCAGGTCAACTAGTGTAATGCCATCCCAAATCATAAGCTGTCTCTGTAAAGCATGTGTATAAACACAGTTTCTCATGTGGCTGGCTCAAGCTCGCCTCTTGCCAGCTATGTTCCCAAATAAGGCAATTCCATATCTCTCACATACATGTGTTGGATACTTAAACCTAAACATAATCTCATGTCTTACCTAACTCACAGTGAGAGTCTTCCTTGACTTCTGTCCCAGGGACAGACAGTATGCACCAAGTGCCTCTAGCTCTCCCCTCAAATGTTCGTATCCTCCTACACCCGCTATCAAATAAAGGGCCTGCAATAACCTTGACTACTGCTACTATAGGAAAATCACATCCTTAACTTGTTTTCAGTTGTAAACTTCATGGATATAAAGCTGTGTTTCTGTCTCTCAGAGCGGCTTCAACTCTTTCCTCAGGTGAAGCTCAACGCACTTGCTTTCCTGCAGCAGTTCCACTTCGGAGTATTTTACTCCTACATCAAACTGAAGGAGCAGGAGAGTCGCAACATTGTCTGGATCGCTGAGTGTGTCACACAGAGACAGAAGTCCAAGATACACAACTACATACCCATCTTCCAGGGAACAAATTAACTGAGCGATGAAGAGAAATACAAACAAACATATATTTCACATACGTAGTGTACAACAATGTAATAAATGCACTTAATCAAACTGTATAAAAATATTTGTTGATCTCTTTATGGTCAAAGTTTGGTTGTGAGGATTAGTTACTGTGGTTGCACTAAAGTCAGTCACAAATATCTTCAGTGTTTGCACTACAGACCACAGAAAATACAAAACAGAGGCCTTGTGATTCATAATAATAATTAATACTTGCTATAGTTAGTATGTCCACATTCACATTACTGCCAAACAAGAGTGTACATTACAGGAGGTATAATATTGTATAACTATACAATAGGGTACAAAATGTAATAAAAAATGTATGCATATAATTAATGTAGTACAACCAGTGGTATAAGAGTGTAAATGTGTCTGTTTTAGCAGCTAACAGGGTCGTACATCACTCATCTCTGCTTTTCAAAAGCTCGTCCTTCCTTCATACTTTCACTGAAACAAAAAAGAAAAACAAGAAGTTAAAAATAGGTCAAATCCTTTTTTTTTTTTTTTTTTTTTTGCACTGAGAAATGTAAAACATCTGCCACACCATGACAGCACAGTGTTATAGTATTGCCTGCTTGCTTGACCCAGCATGGGTCCAGTCATGCACATCCTGGTTGTGTGATGGTCTTACTTACAGCACTGGTAGGGGACCTCCAGTGATATGTAATTCTGCTGGCAGAGACGAACAAAAGCCGATGCTAATCTGCAGGGGGCTCCGGAGGAGCTCAACTTACACACCGACAAGAACTGAGCAGGATCCACCTGATGACACGGACACACTGCTGTTAAACATGAAGCTGACAATCGGTCACAAACGGCACCGTGTATGGGACTGGAAACGAGAACACATTTGTTTTGCCTGACAGATACCAAGTCCTCAACTCGGTTTCCTTCATGCCACATCTTTAAGTTCATGGTCAGGTCAGAAAAATATTGCTTTCCAACAACTGTAGATAATATTAAAACTTTAAAAAAAAACATCATATTGGTTTTATTGGAATTTTGCAATATTTCTTTTTGGAAGAATTTTTTGCTTCATCTATCTCAAAGTTGATGAAAAGTGCATATGGTCATGTTTATTCTAACAGTGTCTTATCTTGGCAAAGAAATCCATTAAAAGTTAAGAAAGGTCAGGGATGAGTGGTGGGCGCCAGACGAGTTTTCACAGTGTCTTATGTCAATGTACAATCTACGTCACCAGACAGTGATCAAAGCCACAAATGATTTCATGTTCTTTAATCTCAGATCATTCTAGGTACGAAATTGCTCATGCATGTCAGATGTGTTGTTCTACTCACCACCCTGAAACAGGAACTCAGTGGAGAATCAGGGGAAGAGAACAGATAGTCACAGCTCACAGGGCTTGTGGCTGCAGTAGCTGGCAGCCTGATACACTCCGGTTTCATCTGAAGACACACAAGATGAGAACTGGAGACTTTCACGTCAACGGAGCTCCATCAAATATGAATGTGCCGACATTTTTAGAGATGCAAGAATCTGGAGTTTCTCCTCTAACTTCTCCTACCTGCCAGCTGTAGAAAAATCTGTCCAGGTTTTCAGCTTGAGATCCACCAGGCAATGGAAAATCGTTCCCTGCTTCATTGTCATTAGTCCCTAACAGACCAGTGGACGTGCCTGTGGAAAAATAACATGTACATGTACCAGAGTCGGACCTGTTTCTTTGTATTTGTAATATCGGCACAGCCATAGCTCTCCTACCATGTAACCATCCATCCAGGGTGAAGCTGCACACTTCAATCGACAGGTCACATGATACTGATACTCCGTTCTGATTGGACACCTGCACAATGTTTGACCCTCTTCTGACAGCCACTCCACTGTCACTGTGAAATGTGTGTGTTACAGCGTCGTTGCAGTTGGCTTTCACCTGTGACACAAACATCTTTTTTATTAAATGTTTTGCTTTAAATCCTCTCATAAAAAAAAAAAATTAAAAAAAAATCGAACACCTTGAAATAAACCTGTTAAAAGCCCAGAATAGTTTTTCTCACACATGCAGGAAATCAAAGACACATTTCAAAATACCAGATAGCTGGAGACTCCAACATTCAGCTCTCATATTTCATGTTTTTGGTATTTACTGAACCAAGTTTTCTCAGCAGCATTAGCATATACCTGTCCACTGTGCTGAATGTTGATGGTGCTGTCATTCATTTCCATCAGGAGGAAGCCTGAACCGAGCAGCAGCGTGAATGAAGGGTCGGTGCTGACGTCCTGGGCGAGCAGCAGTGGACATGAGCCTGGAAGCTCGTACAGGTGGCCATCAAACGTCACTACAAACTGATCCGCAACCAGCAGAGCTCGGTCTTTTGGAGAGAGACAAAAATGAAGAGAGAGAACTTCAAGAGACTTTAAATGCATCATTTGCATGTTAGAAATTTAAGACAGCGGGTTTTTAATGAAGCCTGGGTAACGCTTTGTTTTACAGGTTTGTAATTTACTGATTAATTTCTAGGAAGTTTCCCAGATTTGGTACAAAATTGAAACATTGTTTAATTGTTATAATTTATTAATAAGTCACAATGAGTTAATTATTCCAATCAAAGTGAAAAGTGAAACTGTCTTTTATTCAGTACACAGCCAATTCCTCTGGAAGTCAATAATTGCTTATGAGCTCAGCACAACTAAACTAAGCTCTGACTAATTCCAAATAACTGAAGTTATTATAATATTTTCCCAGTAATTGGAACCAAATGACTTTTCATGAATCTTCCCAGAAAGTTTTCAGGAAATAATGGACATGTCAAATATCTTATGTGTATATTGTTGAAAAACAAACACGAGTGTGAGTTTGTTTTACGTCTGAACGGGCTGTCCATGATCTTCCTCTTCAGGCGGTAAAGTTCAGCAGTGGGTCTGATGGAGGCGAGGGTCTGCAGGGGCCTCAGGAGCCACTCCTCCAGGAGGATCTCCACCAGTCCGGCCTCGGCCACCTTCGAGCGGGGGAGCGGAGGCAGCGGCACCGACAACGCCACTGAGCACTCGCTGGAAAAACCGAGAAGATTCTGCTCAAAATATCTGACGTAGGATCTTTTTCTTACAGTTTGCTCTGGCTCAACATTTTGTAATTTAACAACAAATGCAAACAAATGAATATCTATATATAAATATCTCTGCATCACTTGTTGACTGTTGCACAGCTGACACAGCACTTTTGTTTCAGGAGCCTCTGAATGATTATATTTCAGTTTAGTTAGAGTCAAATTCAAACTGAAATAACGAACTGTTATTTACAGTTATGTGACCTATACATCTAAAAAAAACCAAACAAACATTTAAACGAAATTTATCTCAGTTTTTACCCAGGCATTTTTTTGCCATTAGGTCTTCCTGGGTATGATTGTCATACTACAACACAATGAGGAATTTTTCCCCTGTCTGACCTGTTGAAATCATTTTATGGGAGTTTTACGGGTGTAGGACGCCTTTCTTCATGTAAGTCTCAGACATGCACGATACCTGGGGGAGAATTTGTAGACAGAGGCCAGTTGTTTCCTGAGTCCAGACAGAACCGTGGCCAACCTGGTCTCTACCCAGTGGTAGGTATGCTGTCCTGCCTGATTCACACAAAACATCAGCATTTAACACACATTCATGACAACGTTTACAAGCATTTAAGTATTTTAAGTTTAACCCTACATTTGATCATATTTGGGTTATGATTAAATTCAACCTGCACTAATGTTAAGATTCTAACATTAGAGCAGGTTTGTCTTTCACTTTTTCACATCCAGCAAATGTGTGTGTTACCTCAACATTTTGCTTCTCCATCCACTCTGCCAGATATAATTATATTTTACAAGTTCATCATTAGTTTCTGTTTTAGTGACTATTACCACATAATTTGAGTTGATGACGCACCAGCAAACATGGCAGAAACCTGGATAAAGTGTTTAAATGCAACAGTATCCTGTTTCGAGGACATCCGTGTTTCTTAAATCCAGGATATGAGCTCATATCACAAACCACGATATAACAACAGATGATCAGGATGGTCTAATAACACAGTCGTAAGTGGGACACTTGTGTGACTGTTCACAGAATCTGACACAGAATCAGACGTGCACACACTCTAACAAATATCCACAAAATGATCTAAATGACCCAAACAGAAATGACCGATATAAAACTTAAGACACCATTGTGCAGGTTGCTCACCACATCCAGGGCAACGCTGAGTGTGGCGACGCCGGCCTGAGCCAGCGGTCTCAGCTGAGGGTTCCCCAGCAGAGCGGGCAGGACCTCCACCAGCCTGTCAGTCCACAACGAGACCGCCTCCCTCCACAGCGCCTCCAGCCTCTGGCCGTTCACGTCCTGGTACACTCCTGCCAGAGTGGCCAGGGGCCCTGAAGCCAGAGCACAGAACAACATCAGGGTTTGACTTATGCTTTTAAAGACTTCAGGCATCCAGAGAGACTGAAAATGAGCAACAGCAATAAATCTTTTTTTTTTCTTTCTTTTACGTCACTAAGGTTACAAAAAAAAAAAGTGAGGACAGGTCGGTGGATCCTGGCAACACAAACATTCCATGATCATGTGAGAAAAAAAGACAATGAATGATGTGAGATGTTTTTCATGCCTCAGATAACCAAGTAAAGGAAAAGAGGATTACTTTATGATTCAGAGAATTGGATTCGTGCCTGTGAGGAAAGGCAGGGATCAACTGTACTGCCCTGAATATGTCTATATTTACAGCAACTACATTTACTGTGAACGCACATCTACAGTACGCCATCACTGCATTGCAGCTCCCGTACTTTAATGTACTTGTCTGTACAATAAAGATTTTTTCAACAGCACCAAACGTGGACCTCCTTAACTCACGCCTCAGTTCCTGTTGTCCCAGCAGCGAGGCGTGCTGCAGCAGACTCAGGAGGCGCGGCAGGCTGTCGGTCACGGTGCGACGGAGGGGGCTGTTCTGCCACGGAGCCAACAGACCTCTGTCT